TTCACAGTTGGTTCACTTCCTACCTCACAGACAGGACTTTTATGGTGAGTCTGGATACCTGTTCCTCTGGGGTCCACAGCATCACATGCGGGGTGCCTCAGGGATCAATTCTAGGCCCAGTGCTTTTTAACCTCTATATGCTCCCTCTGGGCAGCGTCATCAGGAGACACGGGGTGAATTTCCACAGTTACGCTGATGATACACAGTTGTACATCTCCGTGTCTCCTGATGACGCACAGCCAATGGAAACACTTTTTAATTGCATTTTAGATATTAAATCATGGATGACTGAAAACTTTCTCCAGCTCAACCAGGGCAAAACTGAAGTTTTAGTCATCGGTCCTGAGGCCCAGAGAGAGAAACTTTTACCTAAACTACAATCAATGTCTTTTTATCCATCACTACAAGTGAAGAATCTGGGCATTATTCTCGACTCTGAGCTGACTTTTATCCCCCACATTAAAAACATCACAAAAATAGGTTTTTACCATCTTAAGAATATCGCCAGAGTCTGACCCATTCTCTCTCGGGCCAATGCGGAGACGCTAGTGCATGCTTTTATAACCAGTAGAATTGATTACTGCAATGCCCTGCTTTCTGGTCTTCCCAAAAAGAGCATCTCAGGTTTACAACTCTTACAAAACTCAGCAGCACGTGTCCTGATGAAGACCAGGAAGCGGGAGTACATCACTCCGGTTTTAAAATCACTGCACTGGCTCCCCGTATGTTTCAGGATCGATTTTAAGGTTCTTTTAATGGTTTTTAAGTGTCTTAATGGTCTCGGGCCTTCTTATCTTTCAGAACTGCTTTTACTATATAAACCCTCGCGGTCTCTGCGCTCCTCTGGCAGCCGTCTCCTAGTTATCCCTAAAGTTAAGACTCACACCCACGGCGAGGCGTCCTTCAAGTATTACGGCCCTCGCCTTTGGAACGGGCTGCCGGAGGACCTCAGGTCCGAAGGGAACATCCAGGCTTTTAAGAATAGGCTCAAGACCCACCTTTTTAGCTTAGCTTTTAACTGATCACTATTTATCTACAAATACATATTTATCTCTTTTATTATTTTTATCATTTTATCTACATCTTAGTGTTTTTACATGATTATGTTTTCTTTTACTATCTTTATAATCACTTTTTATCAGTTACTTTTTATCATTATTAGCTTTTATTATTTTATATGTTATATATCTTAAATCCTCCAGTGTTTCCTCTGCGGAGCCCTCTGCCTTGGGGCCGGTGGTCAGGGGCGGCGGCGGCCGGGGCGCTCCCCGGGTAGTGCCCGGGCACTGGTGGGGGTTTCTGCCCTACGCCACTGGACGTCATGGGCCGGTGTCTTGGCTGCTGCCGTGGATCTGTTGCTGCCAGGGCAGATGGCTCCGCTGATGATGTGTCGTTCATTACCTGACCCATCTGAACTCAGCCTATTGTTTACTCTGGTGTTCACGAGTGTGTGTGTGTGCGTGTGTGTGTGTGTGCGTGGACGAGTGTGCGGGTGATTGTAGGTCCACTTTTGGAAGTTGGGTGCGGGAGGGGAACTGTAATTTTTAATTGTTTTATACTTGAGGAGGGGGGCTGGGATGGGAATGTGGGATCTATGGGGCCATTTTAATCTGTAAAGCACTTTGAGTTGCATTTTTTTTTTGTATGAAAAGTGCTATATAAATAAGTTGATTTGATTTGATAAACCTCCGGTAAAAGTTCAAGAAACCCAGGAAGCTTTGCAGCTGCTTCAGGGTCGTGGGTAGAGGCCACCGAGCTACTGCCTGAACCTTCTGGGGATCAATCTTCAGGCCCCGGGAGGAGATGGTAAAACCCAGGAAGGAGGTGGACTCCTGGTGAAACGCACACTTCTCCAGTTTGCAGTAAAGTCCCTGATCCAGGAGGCGGGACAGAACAGCTCGAACATGCCGGATGTGCTCTTCGGCCGTGCGGGAGTAGATGAGGATGTCATCTAGATAAACAAAGACCCAGTGGCCCAACATGTCTCTCAGCACATCTGTAATGAACCGCTGGAAGACGGCGGGGCTGTTGCAGAGGCCAAAAGGCATCACCAGATATTCATAGTGGCCAGTGGGCGTGATAAAAGCGGTCTTCCGCTCCTCACCTTCCTTAATACGGATGAGGTTATAGGCGCTGCGCAGATCCAGTTTAGTAAACACAGCGGCTTGTGTGATGGCGTCCAGGGCAGTGCCCATGAGAGGGAGAGAGTGTCGGTCCCTGATCGTTATTTTATTTAACCCTCGATAGTCTATACAGGGCCGGAGATCCCCCTCCTTCTTCTTTACAAAGAAAAACCCCGCGGCCCCGGGGGATGTTGAGGGATGGATGAATCCCTTCTGGAGGGCATCAGTTATATAATTGTCCATAGCCCGGGTCTCCGCCGGAGAGAGGGAGAACAGGTGACCCCGGGGGTGGGGGGGTGGGTGGCTGGAGCCTGATCTCCAGGTCGTAGGGTCGATGAGGAGGTAACCTGGTAGTGGGTTCTTTAGCGAAGACCTGAGCGAGGTCGTGGTATTGAGGAGGGACGAGCGACAGGTCTACGTCTGTGGGAGGGGCTGCTCCAGTCCGAGGTGCAGGGGAGCCCCGGTGGTTATGGCAACCCATGCCCCAGGCCAGGACTTTACTGGTGGACCAGGAGATGTGAGGCTCATGGCAGCAGAACCAGGAATGACCCAGGATGAGAGGCGTAGCCGGAGCCTGGATGACCAGGAAGTGGAGGGTCTCCCGGTGTTGGTCAATAGTCATGTGGAGACCCTGAGTTCGGTGGGTGAGAGGGTACGGCATGATGGGCCGGCCGTGCACAGAGGTCACGGGAATGGGTCGGTCGAGAGTGGTGAGGGGTATCTTGAGCCGAGTAACCAGTCCGTGATCGATAAAACACTCCACAGCCCCAGTGTCTAAAAGTGCCTCCAGTCTGGTCGGGCCTTGGTCCAGGTGGAGGGAGACCGGGAGAGTGGTTCGGTGTGGAGCCGGAAAAGTGGAGACTCCGGGCGGGACAGCCCCTAGTCCGACCCGGAGGGACCGTTTCCCGGTCGTTTTGGGCACGTGCCACGATGGTGACCCAAATCCCCACAGTAAGCGCATCTTCCCTCCTGATAGCGCCGTGCCCGTTCCTCAGGGGGAAGATGTCCGAGCTGCATCGGCTCCTCCGTCGGTTGGTGAGCCGGCCGGCGGGTTGACGTCCTGGTGTGTACGGGGGCTGACATGGTGCTCGGCTGGTTCAGGATGCAGCGGTCCAGTTGGAGAGCCAGATCCACTGCTAGGTCCAGGGAGGTTGGGGCCTCGTGCCCGATCATGCCCTCCCGGATTCTCGGTGACAATCCCTCCAGGTAGACGGCCTTTAGGGCGGCTTCATCCCACCTCAACCGAGCGGCTGTCGTCCGGAAGCGAGAGGTGTACTGAGCCGCCGTCTGGGAGCCCTGGCGAAGCTGAAGCAGCCGCGTCTCGTCCGAGACCTCCCTGCTGGGGTTCACAAAAGTATTTTTCATCTCCTTTACAAAAGTCTCATAGTCGTTGCAAGCAGGAGATTTCTGATTGTAAAGAGCTGCCGCCCATTCACCTGCTCGACCTGTCAGCAGTGAGGTCAGCAGGGCGACACGAGAGCAGGATGTGGGGTAGCGAGCCGGCTGGCACTCGAAAGTCATGGCCAGGGTCGCCAGCATGCCCTCCGGGGATCCTCTGGATCCGTCCCACTTCTCTGGAAGGCTGAGGCGTGGTTCCATCCTGTTGGTGACGGCTGTGGTCTGTCGTTGCAGAGCGGTGGACAGCTGGAGAACTAGCTCGGTGAGAGACTCAATTTTTGTGGCTTGTCGATCAGCTACGGCACGGAGCTGGTTCATTTCTGCCGTATGCTGATCCAAGGTTGCGCGCTGTTGAGCCACTTCTACACGCAGATGCGCGAACTCCGCTGGGTCAACTTGGGTTTCAGTCATCCTGTCAGGTTCATTGGCAGATCTGAAGCGTGACTGAAAGGATCTGTTGCCCAGACGCGGAGTGATGGAAATAACCAGCGTGGTTTTCTCCTGAAGGTTTAGATTGAGGGTTTAGAGGGCTGGTAAGCCTGGAGACTCGATACAAAGTCTGGTGAGAACGATGACTGAGTAATGAATGAAACGCCGGCACTTCCTTAAGTAGTGTCGGCGTGATGACGTCAGCCGCCACGTTGGTGGCAGGAATGCTGGGACAGAAGTCAGCGGGATGAGTTCGTGACAGAATGTAGACCAGAGGTGCAAGTGCTGCAGAAAAAACATTGATTTGCAGAATATCCAAACTAGAGTGGGCGGGGCGTTGGACCGACAGCTGGGTTTTATGTTTTTATCCTCATAATATATGTTTTCTTTGTCTATAAAGTAGGAGTGTTGAACTGGATTTGCTAAGCTCAGCTTGTACTGCTTGATGTTGTCAGAGTCTACACACTGCACCTTTAAAATCACACCTTCTAATGAACCAATGGAGCATTAGACAGAAGCATCCTTATAGTCCTGGCCATATGGTGTAGACATAATAAAACACCCATTTTTACTAAATCGTTTCTCCCCTTCAGAAATAATTTTCCTGCATGAACTCGCGCAAAATTTCTGCCTCTGTACACTCAGTGTCTTCCCCCCCCCCCCCCCCCACACACACACACACACATACACACACAAACACACACACAGACAAACCCGCGCAAAGCTACATTTGTGGCTCACTCCTTCTATGCAGTGTAATTTCTAGTAGTGCTTTCACTTTTGTTAGTGAATGGTCTGGCAGCACACACTGAGGGCTTTTTCCCAAAGACACCTTGAGGTGCCATGGAGAGTGTGTATCTGTGATGGATAGGATTAAATTACTGAGGAGGCACTTTCTACTCTACATACACACTCACTCATGCACACTCACACACTCAGTGGAGTGCCACTTGGCACCCGCTTCATCGGTGACTTCATAGACCACATCATTTTTTTTCCAGAGGTATTTTAATGACTGTGTGTGCTTTTGTGTGCATGCACACGATGCAGGAGCCCTGGAGAAACCATATTACGCTGACTACTCCCCGTTGCGTCGTTCCATACACACTTTGTGCACAAGCAACTACCTGGATCTCTTCATCACCATCATCATCTTCACAAACCTGCTCACTATGAGCATGGAACATTACAACCAGCCTCAGGTAACCATGGCAACTCCTACTCCTACCTGTCCCAGAACCATAGTAATGAAGTGAAGTACAGAACAGCCACAGCGGGTTTTTAAAAGTGTGTGTGCGTGTGTGTGTGTGTGTGTGTGTGTGTGTGTGTGCGTGCGTGTGTGTGTGTGTGTGTGTGTGTGTGTGCGTGCGTGCGTGCGTGCGTGCGTGCGTGTGTGTGTGTGTGCGTGCGTGCGTGCGTGCGTGCGTGCGTGTGTGTGTGTGTGTGTGTGTGTGTGTGTGTGTGTGTGTCTTGCAGTACCTGGAGGAGATCCTGAAGTACTGCAATTACGTTTTCACTCTGGTTTTTGTCATCGAGGCCATTCTGAAGCTCATCGCTTTTGGGCTGCGCCGATTTTTCAAAGAGAGGTAATTATGCTCTCCTGTAAACACAAAGACTTGCACGAATATTCCCCTGTGTAAGTAAAATTGTCTTGATGTTGGCATAAAGATGGAACCAGCTGGATTTAGCCATCGTGCTGCTGTCTATTATGGGAATCACGCTGGAGGAAATAGACCTGAGCGCGTCTCTTCCCATCAACCCCACAATCATTCGCATCATGAGAGTCCTGAGAATAACGAGAGGTACTCGCTCGTCCACCACAAGCTCACAGACCCAACTCATGCGGCCGGTAAAGGGGCTGACGTGCTGTTTTTGTTTCAGTGCTGAAGCTGCTGAAGATGGCCACGGGGATGAGAGCTCTGCTGGACACGGTGATGCAAGCTCTGCCTCAGGTAACACACAGATGAGATGCTGTGAAATGAAAACAGTCTTTCTAACTGCTCGCCTGGTTTCTGGGACTGATGAAACACAAACTGCTTGTTTATTTAGTATCCTAGCATTTAGGATTTACTCACAGCTAAACAGCTAAACCAGGTACAAGTCTACATCTTGATTATGAGTTTTTCCACACCTGGATTTAGTTATGCTCAGTTGAGATTTTACTTTTGTCAGGTATCTGTAAAAGAGGCTGTTTAAAGCTTATCAAATACACTTTTAGCTTCCTGTAAAGCACATTTGTTGTCAAATGATCATAGCAGCAGCGTGTTATTATAATGTTAAAAGATGTACTCAATCAAATAACAATAACAGACTATAGGTATTCACACTGATGTGTTTGGGCACATTTGTTTTATTTTATTGGAGCTTTTATTCTTGCTTATTCCCATTCTGTTGTCAGCATAATCATGACACTCACAAACAAGAGGAAAATCATCCATGCCAATACAAAAATAAATGTCCCTGGAAAGCCTTTTATGGTTTAATCGCAATAAATCGTGTTGAAATTTGATAAAGAGCTGTGTTTAGGGGTATTTGATCTCTTGAATATTCTTCAGATGTTAAGTGCTATGAAGTAAACTAAAGAGTCAAATTAAGCATCATCATTCTTAGTTATGGTCACTGATTGATTTATTGATACAAATGAGCTAACATCACACAAACAAGATTTTTCCTAGATCATCAGGTGTCGAATGTGTCTGCTGGGTTAGGGTTTTTTCAGGAATTCAATTAGGAATTTTCAGATGATAGTGCATTGCAGGAATTGTTATTTAGGGTGGCTCAATTTGCCACACCCATATTAAAAATCATGACAATGTTAAAAATGTTTCCAGACATGCGTGTCAACTTTCATGTGAGTTTAAATTGTGAAAGTGTGTGAACCTTTGCAATTGTTAGCCACTGTGACTGTATTTCTTAGAAATAAACATTATTTGAATTATAACAATTTCAGATACATTTTCTGCACAGAAAGACTCCAGTACGTTGTACGCTTTAGGACATCCTCAGGTCTCAAGTGTCAGATATAGAAAATAAATGGTAACACCAATTACAGTCCCCTGTTTACTAAGTACTTACATGGTATTACATTCTAGTTTTTATTTTTATTTGTCATTCCCAGTAAATACTGCTTTACACAATAATTACACTTTATTACAATTATACACTTGAATTACACAATAATACACTTTAACTTACTATGTAATTACCATGTAAGTACTAATTAATTAGGGGACTGTAAAAGGAAGTGTTACTGAAAAATAACACCAGGTTTCATTCAGAAACCTATCAGACTTCTGACTAAATAGTTTCGGGAAAAAAGGTCTCAGAAAAATTCCATCCAACAAAAAGGTCTCAGGAAAGCCCTTATCAAAGAAAGGTCTCAGGAAAATCTCTCTCAGATAAAAGGTCTCAGGAAAATATGTTGAAACGTCACACAGACTAATGAATTCTATTTGAAGCAGCAACGTTCCACTGCCATTCCGCATCGCTGATACTTCCAGTGTGAAACCGGGGTTAGGAATGAGTTTGTCAGAAAAAAGACTCAGGAAAACAAAAGTATTTTCGTCTAATTGACTTTTTCATGAGACAGTTCTTTCTGACAGAACCTTTCCTGAGACCTTTTCTTTCTGAGATCTTTTTGTCTGACACTATTTAGTCAGAAGTCTGAGGGGTTATGAATGAAGCCTGAGGCTTTTTACTCTATAGTCTGATGTCCGACCCCTGATACCCGAAGATGTCCTAAAGTGTACGCCATACTGCATGTGTAAGATGTTGGTGGGATTTTTCTTGGGTGTTCCTGAATAGATAATTTTGTTCTTTTATCTATCTTGTTTTTAGGTTTTATCTGACTAGTGTCATTTAAAGTTCTGTTGAAGTTGACTTTATGCCCATGCAGATTATTACACACTCGTGTTATTCCTGTTGGCTGAAGTGTTCAACTGTTTATTTGATTGTAGAAAATCAAGTACGTTCAAAACTGGATCATATTTATTTAAGAAGTTAATAACAAAAAATGAAATCTGCTGCTCCCCAGATTCTCTTGAGTCACAATCAAACTATTTTTCAGGTCATGTTTTAATGCAAAACATAAGTATTGATCAGGTTTCATGCTACACTTTATATTTACATGATACTCTACTGATAAATCTTAGATAAATGTGAAATTTACTCCAATATAACATCATATTTGGCTCAAAATGTTTATTATTGAGATATTTCCCTGTACAGTCTTAGGTTTGTTTATGCTGTAGTTACTTAAAACTTGCATTAATGTAGCTGGTTTGCCTAACTAACATTCTGGCCTTGCTGGCTAGTTTGTATTTATAAACACGACCTTCAGAAAACCAAATGGATTCAGTTGTTAAAAAATAAGACAGTCCAGCTGGTCGGAGTCAATTTATAAAGAAATGAGGGGGTGGTTTCAAACTTTCGCACAAAAATATAATACCTTATCAGCTTGACTTGCATGTTGTGTGAGACAGCATGGGTATGTATAAAATAATATACAAGGTGGTGCATGTTTGCAAGAACAACAACAACAATAGCACACTAGGGGTCATTTACTAGTCCTTGGAGTTTGGCATTCAACTTAATACCATACCATACCATACCATACCATATCATACCATACCATACCATACCATACCATACCATACCATACCATACCATACCATACCATATCATACCATACCATACTATACCATACCATACCATACCATATCATACCATACCATACCATACTATACCATACCATACCATACTATACCATACCATACCATACTATACCATACTATAATATACTATACCATACCATACCATACCATACCATACCATACCATACCATTCCATACCATACCATACCATACCATACTATACTATACTATACCGTACCATACAATACCATACTATAATGTACTATACCATAACATACCATACTATACCATACCATACCATACTATACCATACTATAATATACTATACCATACCATACCATACCATACAATACCATACCAAACCATACCATACCATACCCAAGCCCCCATAATTCTGCAATAAAATTGAAGTCAACAAGGGAGTGGCAAACATTGCAGTTCCACCCTCATCCACTAGGGGCTGGCATCAGAAGTGAACAAATCCTCACTGACTCCCATGTTAAAAATGCCAATTTCACAGCAGAAATAAATATGTTTACAGACTGAATCAAAAACCCATTTTAGGTTTGATAGATCTAGTTTACATTCATGACAACTCTGAGGGGGGTGAACTTTTGTAACTCCTCTGTTCAAGTGTGTTTAAATGCTTAAAATTGTGAATAATAATGAGCATCAGAGCCACGTGACTTCAGAGCTAGCTCTGGGGAAAGGCCTCAGCCTGGGCCATTTTGACTCTCTGAACTTTAGTTTTGTCTATGTGTTTGTGTTTGGATGATAATCATGGAAGTATTTGGACAAAGAGGGAAAACTGTGGTTATTGACTGCAGTAACAGATCATCCATGCAGTTTGTGCTTCTTTTTATCAGTAAGTAAATTTATATTTCAGTACTTTACTTCGCTGGTTGAAATGCTGTGACGTTTAACTGCTTGGCCAAACATGTCGATGGGGCTGCATGAGAACCTTGAACGGGTGACCAGCCTCTCCTGTGTAGGGTTTGGTAAACTGAGTGCTTTAAGAGCTCAATATATATTACCTCTACTTATGATATAGCTGTGATACTCTATATAAATATAGAATATAGAATATCAACCTGTTTGGTCTTTATTGTGCTTTAATCAGAGGATTCTAGGATTCTTTGTTTATTCAGGGATTGTAAACACTTAGTTTTGATTCAAGGAAAGAGTCAGGTTTATAAAAGTAAGAATTTATTTTCCAAACAATTAAAACATGACAAGTTAATTAATATTTACTGTGATGGATGGATCTAGATGGAGATGTGATGTATGGTGCCTATGTGTGAATATGATGTTATCAGAACTTCCGTATATAGGAAAGCTGAGTTCTGGGTGTAAAAGAATTTGGTTTGCGTTAAGCTGTGAAGTTGATTATTATCAAAAGACATCAGATGCTATCTGTGTGTCTATTTCACCCGTTCTTGGAGACCCTCTTGGTGGATCCGAAGGTCAGAGAGGTCGGATGACCTCTGGCACCGAGGGCTGTAGAATACCGTAGCACCGACTGTTCAGTCCAGAGATGTCTCGGGTCACGACAGATGGATGGAACCGTTTGCGTCTAGACTCTTAAGGAGTCGGAACAAAATCAGCTTTGTTCTGCAGGAACCGTTTGCTGTGTCAGCTTTGCAGCAACCTTGACGGCGTGTCAAAGGTTGCTTCTGGGTTAAAGAGACTTCACTACGGACGGCCGTTTCCGTAGCTTCCTCTAGAACTCGAACTGCTGAATGATGATAACTGAACTGCGACTCCGACTGCTGAATCACCAGAGTGATTCTGTTTTAATATTCTCATGTTATGATTTGTGTGGCCAATCGGAGGTTGACGTGTTGAGGAATATTACCAAGACAACCTCAGAAAACACACCTTCTCAGATACCAAATGCTCTGATCTGTGGGTAAGAAAATATCTATGTGCCACGCGTTTGACTTAACTTTAATTTGTCCTTGTGTCTGTGTAGATGATGATGGCCTTGTCATATCAAACATTACTGATCCATAAATAAACCAATGTAATACTTCATTTCACAGATTAATCAAAGCATTTCATTTAGTGTTCATATAACATTTGTTCATCAACCAAATTATTATGTAATGATTAATTAACCTATAAGTTTTAAATGTTCACATTATATTTAAGAGTTCATTCTTTGATTAAGGAACTCATACAAGCTGAGAGTGTTCACTTTATTCAGAGGCATGAAGAGTCCTGTGGAACGATAAGGGAAACTTGAGGCCTTGAGGAGGGAACATGATTGTTGACAATACGTTATCATGTGTTCAGAGCTGCAGAGAGGCTCTGAACTCCAGCTGATGGGATGCAGAATCCGGCAGATTAAAGGAAACACATGCAGACTCGTGTCTCCATGTCGAACAGATATTGAAGGATCAAACTGTACTTAAAACTGACCATTACTGGACATTACATAACCCCCCCTTTTCAAGGGCACGGGGTCCTGACGGAAACCACGGATGGTTGAATAATCCCAGACGAAGAAGGAAAGGTTAGTTCCCAGACAAAGGCAACAGGAGTGAGGAAAGGCAAACCCCCACACCAGAGAAAAGCCAATGGTATTACCAAACTTGAAGAGGTAATTCCAAACAGGCAATGATAATTTCACTTAACATAATCCTTAGGAAGGAAGCAGATGAGCAGGGACCGTACCAGGCCCCAGGCGAACTGTAGAACTCCAGCAACCACGGCAGGAACCACAGGACGTCCAGACCCAAACAAACTGGACCCACAGGCAGCAGAATCAGGCGACGAGGCAGAGAGGTCCTCCCAGGGAGCGAGGACCACAGGCGAAACCCAGGAGAGGAGAAGAGCACACATGCAGGGCACATGAATGTCAATCAATCAATCAATCAATCAAAGCTTTATTTATAAAGCGCCTGTCGGGAAGCCCAAGGCGCTGAACATGGTACATGAGAAAAGTTAAATATGATGAATGAAAGTAGACACACATAGATCGCATCTGATGCAAAATAACAAATAAAAATGAACCTAGCACTATATGTACCTATATGTGCTATGTGAAAGCAAATTATGTGATCGGAGTTCAGGTGAAAGAAATGGATGCAGGAAACTACGTGTACTGGAAAAATGTTGCAAAAAGAACAAAATTAACAAAACCCTATAATATATGTAAGGGAAAATCAAAGCTTTGGAGCACAAATGTTATCAAAACAGAAGGGCAAAATAATCTGTAGCCCATAACTGGTCAAAATCAAAATAAAGGAGATCATAATAGAAATGACGAAAAGGAATGAGCTGTAATGAAATAATGCGGTAATGTGTATCTATGAATATATATTTAAAAGAAGTAGCAATATAAAGAAGAAGAAACACTAAATGTAAATCAGTGACGTTAGTAATCAAACCTATATGTGAATATATATACCACAGTAGGAATTAGAGATTAGTAAATAACTGGAAAAAATGGAATTTGGATAAACACAACAGTTTGTGGAATACTCCCTTTAACTGTTAAGACTTAACCATTATAGGACTCCAGGAACCCACAGCATGACCACCTCAAGTCACCCCAAGTCTGCATGTCATGGATTGACAGGAAGTACAACCATGCAGACACACAAACACAAATAAACTTGTGTAACCTGAAACAGAGAACTATGGGACAGGCGATTCTGGACAATTGATCTCACCCCCCTTTTCAAGTTGAAGGCCTAACCGGAGGCAAAGGAGGTGCAGGCGGAGGTACAGGACCGGCCGGTGCAGGTGGAGGCACCCAGGGCTTCACGGACAACTGGCACGAGAGCTCGAGATATTCGGCCACCGACGTTGCGGACCGAGTCCCCTAGAGAGGTCAACCGTGCAGAGAAGTGATGGAACAACGACAACCCCAAAGACAAACAAAGGTTTAGGCATGCAGTGAATAACAAGACAGAATCAGCGGAGGACCAGGAGTAAGACACTGGTTGAAACCTGAGACCAGGATCTGCCAACAACTCACGCAGCACCCTGTTTACCGCACCAACCCGAACCATGGTCGGACCATTGAATGTAACACGATCCACCGTAGCTGCAGTCGAGACTCGCAGACCGCTCTGATGCGAGGCTGTAGTCATGCTTGTCGTTGGTGAATCTCTGAGGGAGACCACAGAAACACTGCAGTTCTTTTAGTTGACGCTGCTTCAATTTTGGCACTTTGGGCTACCCCGGTCCCCTGGGCCCTTCTTAGCTCCTTAGGTTAGCTAAGTAGCGACATTTGTTCATTTGTTCCAACTGTAAAGGCCCCATAAGGCACAAAACAGAGTGCACAAAAAAAAGTAAAATAAACAAAAAAGCCGAGGACACACCCAACAGGAGGATTTCACCAGCCGAAAGCCAATCTGAAGATATGTGACTTCAGTTTTGATTGAAAATGCACAAGGGTCGAAGCCCGGCACACATCCAGAGGGGGTGCAGTTCCTCGGCTTATAGGGGCTGTGCGCTTTAAAGCTTCAATGGCAAATCAGCAAAACAAGCTAACTTTTAAACACGAAAACAATCACAGAACTCTCATCCCTCTCGTCAGCTATCATCCCTAGACCACACCCCCTGATACTGGAATGATAATGAGCCGCACGTGTATAGCTCCTTTCAGAATCAGAGGACTTCAAAGCGCTTTACACTACAGTGTATCATTCACACACACATTTGCACACTGGTGGGGATGAGCTACAATGTAGCCACAGCTTCTCTAGGGCGCACTGACAGAGGCGAGGCTGCCGAGCACAGGCACCACCAGTCCCTCCGAACACCACCAGCAGGCAAGGCGGGTTAAGTGTCTTGCCCAAGGACACAACAGCAGAATTCTCTGTCCGAAGCCGGGCTCAAACCTGCAACCTTCCAATTACTGGACAACCTGCTCAACCTGTTGAGCTACTGTTGCCCTAACCCACATTGCCACAGTAAACAAGAGAGCACAAAACACCCGCCACTGTTTTCTAGGTCCAAACGTCTTTGGTTTTCTGTAACTTCAAATGGTGTTGCTCTTTTGTGGTCTCTACGGTTTGTCCTAAAGTTCAAGTGAATCTCTCACACCAGTGGTGTTCTGTTGTAAAATGCGCAAGCACGAAACGAATGGAGGACCTAAGTAAATGTAGAATTATGGTGGGTCGGCGAGACAGACAACCGGGTGGTCCAATCATTCCCTGCAAATAGTCAACATCACATGGATGCGCACATCATGTCTATATTGAGTCCATCGGTCAATATGTAGGACGACCATACTAGGTCTTTGTACAGTGGGTTGTTTCGGACCGAGCTGTATTACTGGCTGAGTTTTTAGACAAATGCAAAACAACCAGTTCATTTTTTTTCTATACAATATATTTATAATAGCTGTACAACGTTAGCATGTTGTTGAGAGGCATGAAAAATGTTTTAATCTTGCTTGTTTTGCAGATTTGCCATTGTTGCTTTAACTTCTTCCACCAAAATCCTTTGCAAACTTCATCCTCTCTAGACGTCCTCTCCATCTATGCAGGTGTTCCAACACATCAGTGAGAGTAATTTATCCACGATCCTTCCCTGTTGCCCACGCTGCAGACTTTCCTTTGAAGTGGCTTATTGCTGCGAGGGATCAAACCCAGCATGTAGCTGCGATGTCCGAATGCTGTTCCCCTGCACTTCATCAATAGATTCATCCATCATCTGATCGGACCCCTCTGTGCCTCCCACTATGAAGCAAAACAAGCCAAGTGCTCTTAAAACCAGAAACAACAAGCAGGTTTAAGCTTCATCAGGGCTGGATCCAGGCTATAGCCATGCACTTGTGTTTTCTTAAACTAAAATCTGATTTTACTCCAGGGTGTTGTGATGGCTCCTGTAAGTTTAAACACACACCAGAGCAGTATGGGCTCTTTCTCACTGTTTGCATGTGTGTGCTGCTCTCAATGTTTGCTTGTTCATGTCTACTTTTTCAGTGTATCATACCCTGTATATATATCTGTGTGTGTGTGTGTGTGTGTGTGTGTATGTGTGTGTGTCGTGTGTGTCTAGGTGGGGAATCTGGGTCTGCTCTTCATGTTGCTGTTCTTCATCTATGCAGCACTGGGAGTTGAGCTCTTTGGAAAACTGGGTTAGTGTGTATGTGCGTGCACGTGCAAGTGCGTGTGTGTATGCTTAGAATCCAATGCTGAATCAGTAATGTGTGTGTGCGCGTGTGTGTGTGTCTCTATTGGTGGATTACGTAACAAGAATACATTTTGTTGACTTGCGTACGTTAACTGTGTCATTCAGCGCTGTAATCTACAAACTCCTCTCTTTTTCTCTCCTTCCTTTCTCACACTTCTTCCTCTAATACTCTTCATCGTTTTCTTCTAGAGTGCTCAGATGAGAACCCATGTGAGGGTCTTAGCCGCCACGCCACCTTTGACAACTTTGGCATGGCTTTCCTCACACTCTTCAGGGTGTCCACCGGGGACAACTGGAATGGGATAATGAAGGTTAGAGCTCTCTTCCTCTTCCTCTTCTCTGTGAAGTTCTAAGAAGATGGATAAATTGCACAGTGCATGTTTTCTTCTCAAAGCACTGGATACGAGGGATGAGTGGCGTTCAGCAGAAGGCAGATCACTGTCTTTATGACTGACTAAGAGGGTGTTAATAACTGTTCTGTGACAGGCTGAAGGTCTCAGACCACGCTCAGATCAACATCTCCTCCTGTTGGAGAGGAGAGGAAGTACCACCTCGAACTCAAATGCCCCACAAAGACATGATTCATTTATTGGACATCATATTTGACTCTATGTAAACAACGGTGTTCAGTACAATCCAGAAAAGTCACTGAATGGTTTTTCAGTGGGATGCAAACATTTGGGCAGCTTTGTTAATCTTCATGATTTTCTTTTGTAAATCATTGCTTGTTACGATAAAAAAAATTCAGTTGTTGGGTGTAATCTGTAGGGTGTCATTAAAGAAGACATACCATGACTTTATTTCTTAAGTTATAATAGTTCTATGGTTGATACAAAACAAGATTGCTACCCCTCTAGCAGCAACTCTGTCTTGCACGTGAGAGGTGGTTCTATTCCTATTTCCCAATTTGTGACATCACAAATGGGAACTTTTTTAAACTACTTGTTTTAGGCACATAATTACTAAAACCAAACACTGATAGAAAATACTGTACATTGATGTTTTTTCAAAGGGGGGAAGTTTTATAGTGGCAGTAGAGATGGGACACAAAGGCATGTAAAATGCTAGTTTTTGCATAAGATGTCCCCTTTACATCTGCAGAATAGTTGGATGGCTCCCACTCCCCCTGGAGAACATCAACAGTGTGTGGAGTCTCATGAGAGCCAAAAACTGAAACTACTGCCCACTCGCTTCTGCCTGTACAGCATCAGTTGATCCACTTTCTTGGAGTATGAGATAAAGCTGTCTCCTCACCCTGGACCATCAGAACAATAAACAATACACCCATTAAAGATCAAAAATTAAATAAAAAAAATCCTCAGACTTAAAATCCAGTTTTTACTGAATAATTTAAACACTGGGGCTGTGTCCAATTTCAGGGGTTGTGTGCTCATGAGGTTGGACTTTAAGACCAGTGATGTCACAGCGCTGCAAAGAAGACTGTCCAAATTCAAAGAGTACTCAGAATTCGGCTGTAAAATCCATTCTTCTTTCCCCCGATTTTGAGAACAGGTGCGGTGAAGTCTCCTCACCTCTATAAATCCCGAGATGCACTGTGGGAAATCACACAGATGGATATGAAACACAGTAGCGTTTTCATGTTTTTCAGTAACCCAAATTACTCATGTCATTAAGCTAGCTTAAGTTGACATGAAATTGGTAAGAGCTTTTAGATTTAAAAAAGGCAAATATACCAGCGTATCGTTGAGACTCAGCCTGACCTGCTGTAGCTCTTCAAACAGTAACAAAGCAAGGAAAACGTTTAAAACGTGCAAGCTCCATTTCTGCAGCTTCTTCTTAGTGCAGTTGCTAAGTGACAGGAGGACATCCGCCAAAGTAGGGGCAGGACAGACTGTTCAAATTCACAGATGTTAACATTCAGTCTAACCAGACACAGAAGCACACGTTCTCCTGAGACCAATGAGGAATGTTGTTCCTACTAGCTCTTGTTGTTGTTTCTATTGATCTTCACCAGCTCAGTGGCCTAGTGGTAGACTGTCCACCCTGGGACTGGGAGATCGGGGTTTGAATCCTGGTCAGGTCATACCAAAGACTTTAAAACTGGGACCCAATGCCTTCCTGCTTGACACTCAGGTGTAAGGAATTGGATTCGGGGTTAAACCACCAAATAGTTCCCAAGCACAGCCACTGCTGCAGCTCACCGCCCCCCTCCATGGGGATGGGTCATATATGGAGATGAATTTCACCAGTGTGTGATGATGACTATGGGACTTTAACTTTACTAAGTAGTCTACCTGAACCATAAAAAGGGTGATGTTTTTTCACCTTTTGTGCCAAAAGCTAACTTTTCTCCCAAGTGTACTGGTACCAAAAATTATAGAGCTCTTTTTTCAGATAGAAATTCATTTTTTGAAGGTTGTAGTGTAAGAAAACTGACAAACATAGTGACAGCACTGTGGACAGGACAGTAATAAGGGTGCTACAATGCTTATGGACTTAATAATCCTTAATAATTTGTGCGGGAATTGATAATCTTAGTCCAGTTATCCGTAAGAATTGTTTCATTATCTAAATCTTCTCCAACTGATGTCTTTGTGCAGGACACGCTGCGTGAGTGTCGACCACATGACCGCCACTGCCTCAGCTACCTGCCCCTGATCTCGCCCGTTTACTTTGTCACCTTCGTCCTCACGGCTCAGTTTGTGCTCGTCAACGTGGTCGTCGCCGTTCTGATGAAGCACCTGGAGGAGAGCAACAAGGAGGCTCAGCTGGAGGAGATGGAGGAGAGGAAAGAGATGGAGGAGAGGAGAGAGATGGAGGAGAGGAGGGAGAGGGAGGAGGCCTCCCGCCGTCTCAGCACCGTATCGGTGGGCGGAGACCTGGAGGGGAACTTTGACATACCTGTCCAGGTGAGAAGACGTGGGACTGTTTGTGTGTCTGCATGCAGCTGAAGGAAGTAGAGGTGACAGCAGCACTGGTTGATCTCATGTGGCAGGTGCAAGTTGAAGATGAGGAGAGTTCCCATGGAAACCGGGTGAGGATGGGACGCATGCTATCTCTCCCTGGCGACAACTACGTCCTCCCACCCAGATGCTCTTCTTACGCTCCCATTGGCCACGAGGCCGTCTGCGGCTACAGTTACTCTGGTAATTTGCCTGTTTATAGCAGATTAAATTGAGAAACAGCTTATAGGGCCCTGTAACCACTAAATGGCTGCAGTAAAGATTATTGCTTCCATAAAAAGCTTAGACAGCAGTTAAGATGTGATGTGGTGCATCAAAAGAGACCGTTACTGCAGATGTAAAGAGTTTTATGTTATTAAAGGTTCAAGACAAATTAGTCAAACTGGAATTTGCCATCAAAGCACTTTGGTGTATTTATTTTTCCCCCATACTGCTGGTGCTTTTGCATGTTTAGTTTTCAGTTCTGGGTGGTGCACTGGCGAGGCTAATTGTTAATGCAATCACACAAAAGAGAAAAAACATTGAAAAAAATCTGCATAATACTAAAAAAAGACAGTCCCGTATAAAAAGAGAGAAATTCTTGACTTAAACAAAAAGAAAAACATCAAAATCATTTGTTGAAATGTTATCCAAGGATCTGAATTTAAGCATCAAAAACCAAAATGAATAACTTATTTCTGTCCTTTTTGAAGCTAATCCTAATTGTGACTACGGTAAATTCATGTGCAACAGAACATACAGCTCAATTAATTTTGTAGATAATTTGCTCAAATACCAACAACTAAATTAAACGGTGTAAATATCGGTTAGCATCTAAAGTCACTTTGCACTGAGAGGCAAATTGTGTCTATGCACACATGTAACGTTTTAATGCATTTAATGATTTATTCAAACTGTCCTGGAAATGGAAATCTACATACTTTGTGCTGCCAGCCTGCAGCTTCAAGGGCGTCATGATAAGTGGCTCCTTTAAGTCAATGCAAAAATATAAAGCAGTGCTCACAGCGATAACGTGCATGCTGAGAACATTCAACCTTGAGTATTTCAGAGGTGTAATACCCACTTTACTCTGTGATGTTTCTAAATATGATGAGTAAGGTCTCTGCCTCAGAGGGTTAAGTGTTCTAATCAATAAGAAGGCTGCCGTTTCATTTACAAGATGGTTCTTGTTTCTGTGCCTTATATCTCTTTGACATGTGGGTTAAACGTAACGGTTGTTTTTTAGTTTTAGTACTTGTTCAGAAAACCTTCAGGTTTGAACCAGTAAGAGCCTACAGTTTCTCTTCTGAGAGTCTTGTCTCTGTCCTTTGTGTTGCTTCGCTTCATGCAAATAAAATCTGATTACAAAAATATGTTTAAAAGTTCACAAATACAATATTTTCAAAGCACAAGAAAACTCATTCTGTATTTGTGCTCAAGTCAAGGGTGGAGAGGCAGGATGCAGAAGCAACAGCCTAAGCATGGAGGACCAGACTTCCTTCTCCCTAGTCACTTTGGGCCATCTCCCCCGGGGAATCCCAAAGCATTCCATGGCCAGCTGAGAGACAGTGTCCATCTAGTGTGTCCTGGGTCTCCCTTTAGGTCTCTTCTCGGTTGGACGTGCCCGGAAAACCTAACCAGCAGGGAGGCATCCAGGAGGCATCCTGACCAGATGCCCGAACCACCTGAACTGGCTCCTCTCAATGTGGAAGAGCAGTGGGTCTACCCCGAACCCCTTGCAGATGACCAAGCTTCTCACCTCTAAAGGAGAGCCCAGCCACCCTGTTGAGAAAGCTCATTTTGGCTGCTTGTATCCGTGATCTTGTTATTTCGGTCACTACCCAAAGCTAGTGACGATAGCTGAGGGTAAGAACGGAGATCAACCGGTAAATCAAGAACTTTACCTTCCAGCTGAGCTCTCTTCACCACGACAGATTAGTACAACGCCAGCATCACTGCAGACGCAGCACCAATCCGCCTATTGATCTTGAGCTCCATCTTTCCCTCACTTGTGCGCAAGACCACAAAATACTTAAACTCCTCCACTTGAGGCAGGACTTCATCCCTGACCCGGAGAAGGCATTCTACCCTTTTCTGACTCAAGACCATGGCCTCATTTTTAGAGGAGCTGATTCTCATCCCAGCTGCTTCACACTCGGCTGCAAACCGCTCCAGCAAAAGCTGGAGATCACAATCTGATGAAGCCAACAGGACCACGTCATCTGCAAAAAGCAGAGACCCAATCGTCAGGCCACCAAAACGAATCCCCTTAACACCTTGGCTGCAGCTAGAAATCCTGTCAATAAAAGTTATGAACATAGTCTGTGACAAAGGGCAACCTTAGCAGAGTCCAACCCTCACTAAGAACGAGCTTGACTTGCTGCCGATCATACAGGGATCTGAGGGGCCTGGTACTTCACAAAACACATGTAGGCTGGTTGGGTGAACTCCAATGCACCACCTGTGGATCAGAAACAGGTGTTTAATGTATCAGTGTTGTCAGTTTTTCATCATCACTCACCTAATAAAGGCACTAGATGTGATGTTTTTGTCCATGTCTCTAGGTTTGTCTATCTTCCTAATAAATTTCTCATGAACGGCTGGATAAATTTTAATGAAATTCCTAAAGTAAAGATCGGATGCACATCTGCACTTGATTGACTTTTGGGGTTAATCCAATTCAAGAAGACATCTACAGCCAACTGATTTTTATAAACCATACACAATGATGTAACTGGGACACTTTTACTGATATCCAGCTAGTTTGATGTCATCCCCAGCACGTAATGTACTCTGGGTGCTAGCTGATTACATGAGATCTTCTGATGTGAATGTGATTTTAAGTGCTGGGTCAAAAATAACCCATGACACCATATTTATATACAAGTGGCACACGGCTTCCATGAAAATATGAAATCCTTGAAATATTTACCAGTTTCTAAAGTTGGGGTCACTTTGGGACCCTTAAATAAAAATCTTGAGAAGAAAAAATGCATTTAAAGAGTGTTTTTCTGCTTTAGGACCCAATGGCAACAAGATGGTAAAAAATCTTAATGTGAAAGGAAGCAGGTGAAATACATTCTTTCAATTTTTGTTTTGTTTTAATTTCGTCTACTTGCAAAAAGTGCTTCAAGGTTGGCTCTTTGAAAGTGATCAATTAATTTAAACGTTTATTAAACAATTTTATGAAGAAGTCATAGTTTTGACGGGAAGGAACTTTTTTTTATATCCTCTATTGCTAAAAGGTATTAGGCTGCCCCACCAAATCAGTGCTTTCAGGTGCTTTAATAAAAACATGGATGAGTGAGTTTGGTGTGGAGGAACCTGACCTCAGCCAGACAGGACACCTTTGGGGTGAATTAGAGCAGTGACTGACCTCATATACATTCTTCTGGAAGAATGGTCGAACATTCCCAGAGGCAAACTCCTAAACCTCCTGGAAAGACTTCTCAGGAGGGTTGAAGCCCTGCGAAGGGCGGGCTAACTGTTTTATTAAACCCTACAGGTAATGAATGTCATTAAAATTCATCTGGATATAAAGGCAGGCATCCAGATACTTTTGGTAGTACAGATTAAATGGCACCATGATGTTTATAGTACATTTCATTGCTGTTAGGGTTAGGGTAAATACACTCCAATCTAATACTTTTGGTCATGTTCAGTCTTGTAGAAATGTTCTGTGCTGATATTTATGATTGTGTCTCTAATCTGGATTACTTCCTGCAGGCTCCATGTCGTCTCTGGGCTCAAGTGGAGGCAGTTCCCTGCTGCAGGTTCCAGGAGCTCTCCCCACCATCAGCCACGCTTCACTGGGGTCCGGACGCAGCTCCAGGCCAATGATCTGCCTCAGCGCTTCTCAGAGCTTCGACAGACACTCGGCACACAGGCTGAGTCCAGCTGACAGCGTAGAGGGATGCAGGTTCAGCCCAGCCCACAGGGCAAACAGACACAGACTCAACTCAGCTCATAGTATAGACGGGTATAAGTTCAGCCCGACTCGTCGGCTGAACAGACACAGACTCAGCTCTGCACACAGTATGGACGGGTACAGGCTGAATCCAGATCCAAGCTCAGACAGACCAAAGCTTCTGTCCAGCCACAGTATTGACAAATATCCATCAGTCAGGCTGAGTCTGACCCACTCCGGCAGCAGACAGTCCTCTTTGTGGCTCAGTCCTGAGAACAGTCTGGACAGAAATAAGCTCAGTCCCTCCTACGTCCCAGAGAGTTCAGTCATGAAGAGACCAGCATCTTTCCACACCGTGAGCAGGCGGCTACGGAGACAGGTGCGTTACCCACTTTACCAATCATGATTATATTTCATAAGCGTTCCGGAAATGTTTAAGTTGGTGTCTATTTAAACAACCAAAATGACTTGAGGGGTGTCACACCATGTGACATGTGACCAGAGCAGTGCACATGCTGGCTTTGTTGGGCCATTTTAAGATCATCAGCACCAACGACACAAACAGAAAGCCGAATAGGGGGAGGGGCCAGGGACCTTGATGGCCTCACTATGACCTCACCAGCAACTTCTATTGCCCCATCAGTGCGTTTGTTTCAGGCCACACCTTATAAGCCTCTTACTCCAGTCCCAACCCAAGTTTCAGAAGGGACGAAGCTTCTTGGATGAGAGGCAAAACATCTTCAAGGAAATCAAGACTACACAAATATATAGCTCTACATATGATGTGGGATTTGTCTGTAATAATGTAAAATACTGAAGGATGGTGCCAGTATCGATCGAAAAAAACACCAATAGTTGTTTCACATCCTGGTAGCAAAGCAGTTCATCCATCTAATGTCCTGCGCTTACCTGGAGTCAGGTTGCGGGGGCAGCAGCCTGGCAGAGAGCCCCAGACTTCTCTATCCCCAGCTATTTGGGCCAGCTTGTCCAGTTATCATTAAAAGCTGCTATCAGATGGTTTTATTGTCTTTATATATATATATATATATATATATATATATATATATATATATATATATATATATATATATATATATATACTGAATCTAGAACCAGCATGCATAAACAGACAGATCGGTCCCGCCTACTTACACTGTTGGTCTTTTTTAAATACGCAGTAATCGTTGCTTGCCTTTTTCGCTTCATCCTTCCTAGCAGCAACCACTTTGGCGCCTCTGGAGTTGGTGTTTGTTTATGTCATGCTGCATTCAGTGTAATTGGAAAAAGGAGCTTCAAGCGCTTAACCTCCGATTTTGTTTTCTTTCTGGCCTTAGTGCGGGGGACGGATCAGGGTCGATCTGAATGGGGGGGGGGGGGGGGGGGGGGTTTGGGGGCCAGATCCCCCCCCATTCCCCACCCTATCTGTGTGCCTGTATATATTCCTCCCTTGTGACTTGTGGGTAAATACACAGTCACATCTTTATCTGGCCAAACAATTCAGCTGAAACCTCAGATTATTTTTAATTAACTTACATTAAAAGGCATTTTATGTGTTGGGAGATGGGAAACACTCTTTTATCTCTGTGTTTTTCACTACTTTGTTCACACTGCTGTTGGTTGTGGAATGGAGAGCATTAATGTCAATGTGAGCAAAGGTTAAAACACCAACAAAACCAAAAAATTTACAAAATTGCACAAATTTTGTCGTGTTTTCAGTAGTGCAAGAGTAATCTCTTAAAGTGGATCTTTAGGGACTTACGTTTGATTTCAGCTGCTTTTTAAATAAATGTCTGTCTCACCAAGCTATGCACTCAAAGAATATGAGACAAATGCAGGACAAATGAAGCACATGGCATTAAATAAAATGTCTCCAGGTCAGGAAATGAATCTTATCTGACAGTCATGTCTTTAGGACAAAGAAAAGAAACATAAAAGATCAATATCTAAACATTGGTCACTGTAACGCTAACTGCAGAATAACATTAGGTCAGCAAATGCTTATTTTTTTCTCATGTCCTGTCCGGCTGTAAATCAATCAGAATTGATGTCTGAGTGTTGAAGACTAGCCTTACAGTTTTATTGTCACAGGTGGTGCAGTATTGCTTCAGCCTGATATCAAAACTTTATTAGAAATGCGTTTGGTAATACCAACAAACATGGAGACAAAAATGAAATGGAGAGGGTAGAGAAGAAAGGAAGCAGTGGGGAAAAACTTCACAAAAATAAACAATAAAGGTTGTTCTGGAATCAGCTTCTAGACCTGGAGAGAGAGAGAGAGAGAGAGAGAGAGAGAGAGAGAGAGAGAGGACACACAAAAATATACTTGTGAGAGCACCATGTGAGCAACTGTGTGTGTACACACATTTGTGTAAATAAAGTTTTTCTACAGGAGTGTCCAATAGTGAGTATGAAGGCCCATAGACCTATCCCCAAAGACCTGCGCAAGATGGAGGAGACTCCAGGGAGACACGCTCCCACCCTCATGTAGGCCGGACGATGTCTGCGCTGCCACACCCCCCCCAACCACAGAATGTACTCTAACAACACGCGTCAACACCACAATGGAGCAGGCGGAGGGAGACTAGGGGTCTTCTCGCATCTCTGTTCTTGGTTTGCTGCCTGGGGCTGAAGGCTAGGAGTGGGAGCTGGCCGTCTGGTTGGGGTCTGGGGTGGTGGGTTTCTTCGTTCTCTGCTGGGGTGGGTTGCCTGCTCATCATTACCCCAGTAAGAATGGGATCTTCTCTGGTGTCCAGGAATGGTTGTTCCCTCTGTGCAGCAGTACCAGGACCAGAGTGTGTGGGATGTGTATGTGTCACGTTTAGGAGAGGAGGTTGGACCCAGGATGCATAAGTACCCTGAACGACTCAAAGGCTGGAGAGGTTTTAAGAAAAACAATTCCTTTATTTAAGGAGGATGTGCTGAAAAGTCCAAAGCACAAAAATAAGTCTAACACTCAAAAAACTCAAAATTAACTCAGCTCACACATGAGCATGGCCTTGGAGCGACTCGAGAGGGGAACGAACAATGCAACATATATGACAATGACCCAACAAACACTGAATGACAAGACAAGGCTTATAAACACACACACACACTCACACACACACACACACACACACACACACACACACACACACACACACACACACACACACACACACACACACACACACACACACACACGGACAACGAAATTGTTCAATAGTTGGCAGCCCTAAATGCTAGCCTGCACTACTGCTAAAGTTAGCATGTGCTACTGCTAGCGCCATTGCTGGACAATAGTCAAAAAATGTTGATGCACTCATTTTCCAGGATGGACTGAAACACTTTTTTGTTCGTCAGAGAACCCCCACTGCACAACCCGTTAGGCAGCCGCTTGGTCAGAAGTGTACTTCCTAGTATGGCAGAAGTTATAGAAGCTCAAAGAACTGTTTGCAGTTGTAAAAAAAAACCTCATTGTGCAGCGTTAAAGCTTTACGTTACGTTAATGCACTATTGGCTCATCCCTTTAGGGCTCAGATTACTGAGAAAAATTAAAAGAAAGTTTAGCTTGTTTGAAGCAAAATTCAAAGAAATAATTGGTGACTGGAAGCGTTTACACTGCACTGTAATTCTGATGAAGTGTGTGTGTTTATGCTTCCTTGCATTGTGTGTGTTCACTTATGTTATGTGTCTAACAGGAGGCTGTGCGGAGTGACTCTCTGGATCAGAGCGGCTCAGCTGATGACCTAGCAGAGCCCTGCCTCACTGTGCCCACTGCCTCCCCCTCTCTTGCACGGCAGCGATCATCCAGTGTGCACACACTGAAATACACACTCCCCCAGAGGGTGATCTCATGCAGGAGCCACAGCCGGAGCCACAGTGAAGCTACAGCACATGAACATGTGTCTGAGCAGGCCATCTGTGGCGCTCAGCCACCAACAGATGTAGAAAAGAGGCCTGTCAGCCCAGAGGGGCTGTCCAGTTTGAAGGTCACCAGCAACGAAGTCATACTTTTATCTCCCTGCCCTGGTGCCGGATCAGACCCCGCCCCCCAGTTAGACGATGCTGATGAGGAAGTCAGTCAGATAAACAGTCCGGTTCACTCACAGCCTCCTAATAGCTCCCTACACAAAAGCGGACACCTTTCTCCAAGTCCCTCAGAGCACAGGACCCGCCTCAGCCACTCGGCGTCACCTGTTACAGGCAAAAGCAGGAAACAGAGGATAAGCCCGCCACCGGGAGACGAACCAGTCGCAATGGCAACACAGCTAATGGACACCAACGTAGAGCTGAGAAGGCGAACTCTGTCATTTGATGCCACAAGTCTCCCTCCTCATCAGCAGGAGGGAGGGTCTGTTGATGACTGAGGACTGGAGACAAGTGTTCTCCTGTAACAAGCACCAGAGGGACGTGAGCCCAACAGGAAGGATACTGGTTTCCTGTCCTTCCCCATCGCCTTGTCCACTCGCAGGATCCTCACAGGGTGTGTGAGAAGAACTCACAGTTTGTGTATCAGTGAGTAAATTTTTTAAAGTACAGCTCCCTTGTGCTGCGTGCACACAAAATGCACACAAATAACTTTCCTTTTCTTCTATCATAGTTTTAGCTTTAGTTCAGACAATGTAGCTGCCCACCAGCTCTATTTACCCCGACGCTAACCTGCCTCTTGCTTGCTGTCCTCCTCCTGCCCTTGCTCACATTTTTCCTGCATTTTAAGCCCAGGTCAGAATACAAACGACTCAACTGTGCCTCAGCTGCTCCCATTCAACACACATCCAGCGTCAGTTAGTAAAGTATCAAGCACCCAGAAATGAACGTATTTAAAAATATACTCATGGCACTTTAAAGTCCAAGCAGCAGTTTTTTTTGGTAAAATTAGATTGAGAAACAGATTTGAGAGGCTTGGATTAAAACTCCTTCTGTGATTAGAAACTAATCTGTTAATTTTTATTAAAGCTGCATGAAATAACAAAAACTATTATTGCTTTTCTATTCATTGTAAACCCCTTTTGCACACTCTTGAATTTAGCTCCATCAGGACATTCACAACACTGCTTTAGCATTTAAATCACCTGTGTGCATTCAGGAGTCAGTTACGATATATCATTAGTCCAGGACCCCGGCACGCTAATATTGCTATGATCATCCATTTTTGATATATTGTGCAGCATAACTATTAAAGTTTGGTAACACTTTACAGTACGAGTCCCTTTATAAACATTACTTAGTGCATTGTTAAATGTGTGGTTAACTGAAAAAACATTTTTTAATGATTATTTCTGATTATATTCAGTCACTCTGGGGTTTTCATGCAGGCTGAACATGAAAATAGTCTCCTACACTTATCGCCTGCATTGGCTTCTGATGGAAAACAGACAATGAAGCTCTTGGATTTAAAAATCCTGACATATCTACGTCGCAGCATTGTCACTAAACATTTATGGACTCGCCCATCTTGACTCACGACGAGGAAGACTGTTGTTGGTTTAGCATCCAGGAAACGGCAGAGAATGTCTCGGCTGGTAGAAGCTAATCATTAGCATTAGCAACTCCACCACACAGCATTACTCCTCCAGGCTTGTGTAATTTGTGGGGATAAAACATCCACATTGCAAGTCAGTGGTAGAGTCACATTGCTGTTGTCCAAGCCGAGGCAAGATGTCCAAATATCAGGAAATAAGAGTCCAAATTCTGCCGTCTGCTGATCCAAGCAATTCTGGGCATTTTTGCCCCGAGTACAGCTTGCAAGGCATTCATACTAGAGACCACTACAAATGTATTGATGAAATGAGCTTCTCACACCTGTAAGCATTAATAAACTATTTAATAAAGTATTCAATACTGCTTAACCATATTATGTAATGCATTACTAAGCAGCCCCCCCCCCCCCCCCCGACCGTTTGTGTACTTTTCACCATTAATCTTGTTAATGTTGTATAAAATTAATTAAATGATGCTCACATATAAGCATAAAAATTGGGTCTGAAATACATGGTCTCTGGGTGACACCATATTACCGTAAATCCTCCAATACAGGCCGGTATTCAATTAAAGGCCGGGTCTCCAATTGTGGCCGGTGTCAAAGTCAGTTGAGGTAAATATTGGCCGGTCTCTTATTGTGGCCGGGTGGAATGTAGTAACAAGCAAGTATGAGCGTCCCAGCGGCAGGGTTATCGTCCCCAAATGAACCAGCAGGAGGCAGTAGAGGTTCAAGCAGACCTTTATTAGGCTTTTTCTTCAACGCTTTGTAACGCTACAGACACAATCCTCTATCACGCTCCTACCACACAGAGTCACGGTGTCAGTTAACCATGCTAATTCAACCCACTCCACAGAACACACATCAACTTCCCTGTGGCTTACATAACACTCACACAACACGCAAATCAGCACATAGGAACTAGCAGAACGATAGGAAACACATATAACACAATACCCAGAAAGCACCTGGCTTACAACCCCAGCCAGGTCATTACACTGTCAAGTTCAAAGAGAACGTGCTGATTATGCTGCAGAACACTCTGGAGAGCAGCAGTAGGGGGTGTATGAACTAGTCAACTTCACTATAGTGACTTTTCATGCCTGTCGTCGACTAGTCGCTGTCACGTGATAATGACCGGCAAGATGCAGCCCTCGGAAAAGACAGCAGTCTGCTGTCAGCAGGTGACAAGCTCCTGCGCTCGGGGGTGGGGGGTGGGGGCAACGCGCTGTGCCAGACCGTAGTCACTGACACGCGATCGTTCATGTTGGTTCATTTCCTTTAATGTTTTCTGTCTTTTATTTGCGCCTGATGCGTTTGCTGCATGCTGTGGAGCGGGGCGCTGCGCGCATCACCTTGTCCTCCGACGCACTGATCACTGATACGGCCGACAAACAGCGAGCACTCCGCTGTTTTTGCGGTCAGTAGATCTTTTAGAACTGCAGTTCAAAGGTAACTCATGAGGTGAATATATATGAACCCAGGTAGCAGTTTTTCTTTAGGATTGAGAGGAGATGCAGGAAGATAATAAACAGACAGGACAGAAAAATAGTCAAATAAAAACAAGTTAGTTTTTGTACCTGGTGGTTGCAACAAACAGCCACCATTGAAGGTCATCAGAAGTGAGGAACAGAAAATGAAATAATTATTTTAATGTTTAGAGCAGCAGGAACTCTGAGAGGCTGCAGGCGCATCAGTGAGATTGCGGCCGCTGCGCAGGGGGAGGGGGGAGAGGGCTAAAGCAGGGGGAGGGGGGAGAGGGCTAAAGCAGGGGGAGGGGGGAGATGGCTGAAGCAGAAACTACTGTTGTTAAAAGAAATGTGTTTAACTTTGAAAATGTGGGCGCAATTTTAATTGTCAAAAACTCCAAGGAACATTAGTTCATTTTGCTCAAATTGAAATAGAGGCCTGCCTCTAATACTGGCCCTCCTTCCAATAAAGGCCTGGAGCTTGATGAGCTTGAGTCAAATAGAGGCCCGGGCCTGTATTAGAGGATTTACGGTATGTTTATTTATTTAGCATACGCTTTTATCCAAAGCGACTTACAATTTATAACCTATAGGGCATGTTGTGATCTGTGGGGGAAACCGAAGTACCCGGAGGAAAACCACGCATGCATGGGGAGAACACGCAACTCTACGCAGAAAGGCGGCAGCCGAGTTTCGAACCTGCAGCCTTCGTGCTGAGAGGCAACAGTGCTAACCACTGTGGCGCAGTTGGTAGAGGCAATGTTTCCTTCTATGGGAGCCTGTGAGGGCAAAATGCATTTACAAAGGGTTAAAACTTTCACCATTCATAAATGTTATTTTACACATTGACCTCTTCACTCGTTGCTAGTGATGAAAGAAAGTCTGATTGCCATCTGTTGAAAAGGTCTTACTCAAACACAAAAATACCGCTTGCTTGCAATGATCTAGGTACGTATGCCCCCTAACACCAGGAAAAATACAGATAATCACTTTAAGGACACTTAATAGTTAACAATAACTTTAATAAAGGGACCCTTTGTTTGTTGATGCTTAATAATGCACTAAGTAACATAATAAAGAGAACCTGCACTAACATTGTTAGTAAAGGGACCCTTAGGAGTTCTGCTCAGCTAGTGACTGAACAAAGTTTGGGCCCATAAAACCATTTTCTGTGAGAACTCGTAACAAAAATCTCCTTTCATCCCCTTTTTAACTTGTGTATTTAAAATATTTGTAATTCTCAGCTACAAAAGAAACCTTTATGTGCATAGTGAATTAATAATTGCACAATGAATTAAATGTTTTTACTTTCCCTATAAATTTAAAATGACATTTTATAGCGCTGCAGATAGTTCAGAAGATAACAATGTGTTCATTTTTGCTTTTAAAGATGCTCCACACCTAGTTTTTTCTTTCTGAATCTCGAGACCAACACTGGATGTTGCCTGATTACAATCTGCAGCACTTTGATATCTTGTTGATTTTTCTCGGAGAACATCCATGACTAGATGCACTCGATCTCCAACGGTCTGAAAAATCAATTCCTTCTCTTTCAGCTCCTCAGTTAAAGTCATGTAGTGTGACCTGGGCTTTAGTAGTGTCTACCTCGCTTTTCCCCCTCCTCCTGCTCCCCATCCATCCGTACTCTGGGTTTTCTCACTCCCCTCCACTCTGTGTCTTTGTATTCTCAGGGTAGACGTAGATCAGACACACTTGAGTGTGAAGCATGTGACTATAGAGCTCTGCAGGGTTAGAGGGCCCCCTGCTGTCTGAACTCAGAGCTGGCCCCCTTTTCTCTTCATTATTTAAAGAGATAAAACTGCATGGGAGCAGGGTGGCGACAGGTACGGAAAGGCTTATGCAGATGACGAAGACAAGCTTTGTAGAAAAGGTTCAGAATATATTTTATTAAAACAGCAGGTGTGACACGAGAACGCTGGATTTCTACATTAATTTTGATTGTCAGTGAATCAGGATGTTGATTCTGATGGTTATCGTGATGCAAGTGTTCATTAAGATGTGTAATGTTCCTGCAGACTAATAGAAGCAGTGAGCTTTACACGACTGAACAGCTGGAATAAAAACCACTTCCTGTCTGACTCTCATCTGTCTCTCCGTTTGGTCTTTTCCTTCAACAGAAGGAGGTTTAAAAACAAGTTAGGAGGCGTTACAAGTTATTTATATTACAATCTGAAAATAAAGCCAGCATCCAGCAGCTGCCTGTCGCTGCTAATGAATTCAACACAACTCTTATCTAATTGTAGGCTTCCAGCAGCTGTTGATTAATATGCCTAACATCCTTCAACCCGCCTTGCAATTCGTAATTGAATCATAAAAGGAGTTTATGAGATTAAAGGAAGCAAAAATGAATTATTAAAAGACAACATGGGGACAAAAGCAGAATCAGAGCACTGATCATGGTGGTGACTTGTGAATTTTATTTCTTTTCTTTTTTTTGTTTCTTTCTTAGTTTTTTACTAATTCAGCATATCACAATAAAATATTTAATCACATGAATATTTTACAGTGGAACTCTAGGATGCATTGAGCAGTCCTGCCCTCCAAAAGGTAGCTTTCTCTGCTCAATCGCCTCACGAGCGATTGGTCAAATTGAAAAGAACTCAGCCAATCGGCAGCCTCGCATCTTTAAGGCAGGTCGGTCGGACTGACTGGGATAAAACGGAGGTGCTCATCTTCCACGTAGCTCCTGAGGCAGACGGAGTATCAGCACTCATCTACAGCTAATCTGCACTTCACCACATGGGCATGCAGTCAAGGCGTGTGTGTGTGTGTGTGTGTGTGTGTGTGTGTGTGCATGTGTGTGTGTGTGTGCGTGTGTGTGTGTGTGTGCGTGTGTGTGTGTGTGTGTGTGTGTGTGTGTGTGTGTGTGTGTGTGTGTGTGTGTGTGTGTGTGTGTGTGTGTGTGTGTGTGTGTGAATGAATGCCCTCAGGTGTATCTACAATTGTTTCCAGGTGTGTGTCTGTAACTGCTTCCATATGGTATGGTTGCGTGCATCCTAATCTGTGTGTGTGTGTGTGTGTGTGTGTGTGTGTGTGTGTGTGTGTGTGTGTGTGTGTGTGTGTGTGTGTGTGTGTGTGTGTGTGTGCATGCGTGCGTGCGTGTGAACAGAAGACAGAAGAGTTACAACTAACTAAGCGTAGCCAGCAGTTACCATGGTGAAAAGAGATCTATCATCACATGACCCAGACTCCTGCTGCCACCCCCCCACCCCCAAGAGAGGATGGAAACCTAATAAACAGCGAGGCAGCGTGGTGTCTGCTCCAGCGCTGCGTGCAGCGTTGTTTGAATCCTTGTCCCTCCTGTCTCTAGAAAGCAGGAGCCACAGGTCTCTGCTGCGTGAGCTTCTGGGGGTCCAGTGTTTCAGTGAAGGGCGGGGCCTGATAGGGATTGGTGGTTACTATGGTAGCGCCGTTGGGGATGGGGTACGGTGTGGCTCGAGCGTGGCTCGGGGCTGGATCAAGGTGCTGCCAAGTGAACAGGTTTGTCTTGCTCCCGGTTAGGTAGCGTCGAAGAGCACTCAGCGTCAGCACAGCCTGTGGGTTTAAAAAATAGTAAGAAACAAGAATTATGGGATGAGTTTTACTTCACCAGAAAGAATATTTGGAAAACCTCAGGGAAAATCAGATTAGCTCTGATAAAAAACAAAATAGAAACTAGGAGTGGTCACAGAATGACTTTGACTTTCGACTTGGTCTAGTTTAAATTACGCTGATTAGATATGAGTTTAGCTAGTGCAGACCAAACACACCAATGAAGGTGTAGATGAAGATAAAAGGGTGAAACTGACATTTCTGAGCGGAAGTTGAAGACAGCTTTTTAGAGTAAACTGGACTGAACTTTACCCCATTAACCCTCTCAGGCTCTAAATAAGTTCTGATAAAAGGACGAACAACTAAGTCCTTCAGGGGTACTTCTGAGTTAATAAATGCTCATGAAATATGTACGTGGAGAAACCAGGTAGGCAGGTTTTAACGTTGCACATCTGCAACGCCTGCCTCCAGAGGTTAATGATAGAGCTGTGGAGAAGATTTAGACATCTGAAAGCCCTCTCTCCTTCAGGTAGGAGCTGAAAGCAACGCCTCATACCTCTTACTCATACAAAAACAGCACTGTAGCGCTGACGGAGGTCTGCCAGGACCTCATGTTTTTGGTATGTTCCTGCTCAGACACACCTGATTCTAATGACTGAATTATCTCCTCAACCTTCATCAGGTTCTGCAGGAGCTGCTAATCATTCAGGTTTTTTTTTTCAATCTGCAGTGTTAAAGCAAAGGAGCCAGCAGGAATCCAGCACTTGTGATTGTTGCCCACCTCACTTGACGCTACAACAGGCTAAAACAATCGTCCAATGTAGCATGAGGTGGAACGCTACGCGACGCTAATCACTTTGCTCCAATACAGGTTACGCCAGGGAAGGACAACTCCCTCAGAGGACCGCTATCTGGTGTGTTTTAGTGTTTTCCCCGCTTTAGCACACCTGATTTTTCTCAGCAGGTGGTTACCATGTTTCCACAGAGCTTGATGAGCTCCTGAGCAGGTGAATCAAGCGTGTTGAAGCAGGGAACCAAAAACATGCCGGGTAGAGGCCATCAGTAAAGCGAGTTATCTATTCTCGTGCTACACCTCATACGTTCCCTTCCCTCCTCTTCTAGTTAGCTTGAAGTTTACAGACTGACATTAATTGGATGTAGGTCGAGTTAGCACTCAAGCTAGTCTGGCGTAATGAGCTGGATGTGCGTCAGTCTGTCACCCCGTAGTGCATGCTGGGAACTGGGGTGCATTATTCTCATTGACTGACAGCTCCTTCTTGAGGATGTGCAAACATATCGGTCAGCGCTCTAGGCTCGTGTAAAGGATTTGTTTTCTCGTAGAGGCCAGGAGAAGGACTTAGGGGAAAAATGAATGATGACAGGGTCAGATAGTCATGTGCATTTTTTAAATTAGTTAAAATTTTAAATAATTTACTACAAATTTAAAGACGATTACAGAGGTAAAGAGGAAGGAGAAAGATGTGAAGGTGTTAAATCATTAAAATGTAATGCTTTTGCATGTGACATCGTGCTACTCATGGGACCACTTCTTTTGCCATGATGGACGGCAAATGAATTATTTACGTGCATTAAAACTCCTGTAAAGCAAGCCAAAAACAAGCTAGGTTGTAGCCTTAGCCTTATATAGCTTTTTCAATCATAAATTTATATCTATTTTATTGTGGAAACGCACATAGGACTACAAATGGAGGCAGTGGGTCAAAGCTACATGATGATGGTTGTTGGGTATTTTTATAATTGTACCTTTTTGAGGCCTAAAAGATGGCCAACTGTTGCTGTTCATGAAAGGTTGAGCAAGGATGTTGATTGTAAGAAAACTGTACCTCTGTAACCTGAGAAGGCTTCTCCCCCATCCTTGGTGAATAAAGCCCCTGACGAGCTGAGAGCACACAGGAGTGATGTGGGAAGAAGCCTTGGAGAAGGCCATTCCTGCATTAACTCTCCTTGTTTTGGAGACTCAGGGTAAAATGTCTTCCTTGTTGTCATGTGTGTTTATTTCAGGGTCCAGGGTTATGGAGATTAAATATTACCTAACATTCTGGTCTCCTGATGGAGACCGCAGGTATGCAGAGCTGGAGCAGAGTGGGGGCTGGATGTCTGGGCCCAGCTCACGCATGGTGATCGAACATTAACAAATAATCAATTTACTCTCTCTCTCTGGGTGTGTCGTCCTTTAAGGTAATATGGGATAAAATCAAATTACCTATCAATGGTGATAACAATAAAGCTTACAGACGTGGACACAGATCAAGGACATAGTCAATAGACAGCTACAGACCCAGGTGAGGATGGAGAAAAAGCTGAAGGTGATGGTGGCTCTGGCAGCATCTGAGCCCTGAGCCAATGGGAGCTCATCTGGGGATGTTGCCTGCCACTGATTGGCCAGAAAGCAGAATCCAACAAACCACAAGAAGCTGGCCAAACCTGCAGGAGAACAAGCAAACTGGTCAGATCCTTTCTGGAGTTAAGTTCTTCATGTTTTCCCTTCAATCCCCTTAGACCAAAAACTCCGTATCAGCCATGTTGCTTTCATTTTGATCAGTTTATGCTGTTTTCTCATTCTTACACTAACTAATTGGTTGGTACTTGGACTCACATTTGGGATAACAACATGTTGTAGTGTTTGTTTATTACCAGAGAAGATGAGGTCAAGCAGCACCGCACGTTTTCGGTCCCTGATGTTGCTCATGGAGGGAAAGTAAACGTCCACGATAAGGAAACAGATGCTGCAGAGGAAACAGGCCACGCCCACAGTGATACCATAGTTACAGGCATCGGCGTTGTTGTTGAAGACGCAGAGAAGACGCTCGCTGCCGATGTTGATGTAGCCCTCGTTCACGATACAGCTGAAGACCACAATGGAGAAAACCTGCATGCACAGATATGAAGGATGCTTTATTCTCTAGTCACACGTCATAAACTAATCTGTGTAATCTGGGATTACATCACTTGCTTTAAGGGTTACGTTTCGATTCCCTGAAATTAAGTTTGATGCAGTTGTGACTAATGTCCTAGTCTCAGTCACATGACCAAATGTTTACTCCTCTGCTTTCGAGTCAGAAAGTGTCACAGAGATGAAATAAGATCAGGTTTCTAATCCCAGAGGATATTATGGTTCACAGCTAGTGTTCAGTGACCTGTTGGTGCAAACACACAGCCGCTGTTGTTTCTCTGGTAGTCATAATCTTCGAGTTTATCTAACCAACAGTTTAACAAACACGATGACTACAAATGAAAGTTATTGTTATTAAAGACCTGTGGGTCACACTTTAGAACTTTTTCAGTGTTTAACCCAAATTAAAAATGGTGACAGAAGCGTGTGGTGCACGTGTGTCCAAAAATATGAATGAATGAATAAAATAAACACAATTTCTGTCTTTATCCAACTTTCCACTTGTGCATTAATGACTTTTTTGTGTTCAATAATGATTATTTAAAATATTAAATAGATGCATGACACTGATTTGAAGAAAGATCCCAGAAAGTCTCATCAATAAATGAATCAGTCACTGAATAAATCCGTATTTATTCAGAGTTATTGGGAAAAATATTATAGTCACTAATTGGTCTTGATACAATATTATATTGACACATTTGATTGTGATTAAATGTTTGTCAAAATCTCAGATTCAGTCACAAAAGCATTTTGATTTGATTTGATTTATGATCCAGCGATCGACATGAAAGGATGTGATCGAAGATAATCATTTCCCCGAGGATCGATCCTTCATTGAACGTTTTCTCACTGCTTGCCATGACGCTAGTTCATTTAACACGATTGGTGTTGTGATAGCTAATATGAGTTGAAACTGAATCGTTTTGCGGTAACCCTGGTGTGTCAGTTTAGGGCTTCCAGGGGCACCCATCACCCTTTTGGGGGGGGGGGGGGGGGGGGGGGGGGGGTTCGGGCTCCCCCTAGCTCCCCCATAATTCGAACCCTGATTGTAACACTCTTAGAAACATCCACCAGACTGGGACTGGCATGCAACTTGGAATTTAACATGTTAAGCATCTCTTCGGCTTAACTGAATGGATGTTTGTGATACTAAAATCCCAAATGTTTTCTAACTTCTGATTATAATTTTTTAAAATGCATGTTTTTTTGTTTGTTTGTGTAAACAAATGGACATTTACTAAGATTAATAATTTCGCTATTTGTTTACTTAGCCTACAGCTTTCATTATAAAAAATGTCTAATTATTACTGTCTGTACCATTTATGTTGGAACTTGAAATAAAACTTCAGTATTATTTTCGCGTTTTGCAACATAAGCCGTGAAGGTGATTAATGAGAAACACACCGACACTGATGAGCTTTTTGTTCCTCGGGCGCATAAATAAACGCGGTGAGTCACAGCTGCACAACATCCCATCACAAAGGAACCAGAGAGTAGCTCTCTCACACAAAAAGCAGCGTTGAGAAGATGAAATGTTTACCGTTTCTATTTAAAACACATTCATGACTAAAAACAGAGAGAGAGATGTGGTTCTGAGAGGGGGTGCAGCTAGAGGCCCGTGCCCACATATTCAGACCAGACGTACCCATGACAGCAGTCTGAGGATGGTGCGGGGATGCGTGAAGAAAGCGACCGGATCGAAGCGGACACCCGCGGCCTTCCTGGTGCCGTACCCGCCCGCTGCCTCCATCCCTCCGGGTTTGTGCTGCCTGAAAGGCCGCTGAGAGAACGAGACGAGACTGTGTGAGAGCAGCACGGAGCGGTGTCCTCCTCCAGCCTCCGTCACAGCGCGTCACTGAGCGCGCATCAGGCTCATCAGGCTGCAGCTATGCTGTTGCATGGAAGGTGCGGCGGCGCATGTTTCACAGAAAGAGGATCACAGATCATTTAAACGACTCTTTGATCTCATGTGTGTCCTGCAGCTAATCCACAAAACCCATATGAGGGACACATATGACCAATGAGATGTATTCAGTTAACCTGTCCCAAATCAGATTAACATTCAGAGTTAGTTCATCCCGACCCTGAAGGTATGCTGTCCAGCATGTTTTAGTTTTTTCACTGCTCCAACACATTTGAATCACCTGTTCAGCAGCTCATCAAGCTCTGCAGAAGTCTGTTAATCGCCCACTGATTCAAATCAGGTGTTGGAGCAGAGAAACAATTAAAACATGCTGGATACCAGCCATCTGGGAATGGAAGTGTCCACTATTGCTGGAAATCTAATTCACAAATATCCCTTTACCATCTGAACTCTTCAGCTTCTGGTTCAAGATTAGGGATGTCCAACTTTGGTCCTCAAGACTCCCATCTGCTGCTGAACAATTTCAACCATTGAATCAGGTATGTTGGAGCAGGGAAACAACTAAAACAGGAATGGGGAACCCTGGTCCTCGAGGGCCGGTATCCTGCATATCTTTGCTCCAACACTTCTGAATCAGTGGTTGATTCACCTGTTCTGCAGCTCATTAAGCTCTGCAGAAGCTTGTTAATCACCTGCTGATTGAAATCAGGTGTGAGGGTACAGGGTTGAAACTAAAATATGCTGGATAGCGGCCCTCGATGGACCAGGGTTCCCCACCCCTGAACTAAAGCATGCAGGATAGTGGCAATCGAGGACCAGGATCACCTGTCATTGTCTCCTCAGGGGGGTGAAAAGATATCCTTTTCAGCTCCTTTTTTTATTTGCACAAACTTAGATGCATCTTCCTCCTCACATATATACATTTTCATCTTCAATAAATTGAAGAATATCCAAGTTTGATGCTCTTAAATAAAAATATAAAATGTATAATGTAGAGTTTAGCATATGTTAATCCAGGTGTGAATTAAACAAAAATGAATACCCACAATGTTTGTACATTACTGCATAAGTTTGTGGTGAATACAGTTTCTCAAAAAACAGGCAAAAACAGGTCAAATGGTAAAGACTAGACACTTGGCAAAAAAAGGTAAAGACTTGAAGTTGTTGGAGTTTATTTGATTAAGTCACTCAAACCGTGAGCAACAGCTTAACTGAGAAGATGAAACCCAAATAGGTGATCAAAAACTAAAGTGTGAAGCACGCCATCAGTTCTCCGATCAAAGCTCATCTTTGGTTTTGTTGTGGTCTTTTGCTTTTTCAGCTTTTAGGGCTTCAAAGTAAACCCTCCTGTCTTCCTCCTCCTGGAAACACAAACCACAGAAATCTGTTTTATTCATAGAAAAACAAATAATCATAAGAAAACCTGGTGGCTGAAGGATAAAGTGGCTTTACCATAACTCTGTATTTTTTGGCTTTCTCCATCTCCTTATCTACAAACTTGACCAAGTCCTTTAACCTTCTTTTGCCTGTGTAAACCACCATCTGACAGATGCACAGAAGACATTTTAAAATGAAACCATACAAAAAATGGCGGAAAATGGTGATTTCACGATGAATGCACGTGAAACAAGCTAAAAGCTCATGAGTTTCTGGAGCTTCTCACCCTCTCAGCATACAGAGCAGGAAACAGACAGAGGGAAGGGTAGGAGCCTTGGGTCGACATGCTGATGTCGTTGACTGAAGCATCGATACGAGCGATGACCACATCCTCTTGATCTTTAAAGGCCACGGCTAACTCTTCCCACAGCGGGAACAAGTCACGAGACTTCTGGCTGTAGGACAAGTCTGAGAAACAACACGACACACACATAAATGCACACGCGGGCACACACAATAATACAATCCTAGTATCTCCCAAAAGGTTTTTTCCTGTGATTTAAGTTCCTGAGACACTCACCACTGTGTCAGCATCACAGTTCCCAAAAGAAGTTGACCTACTCCTCCAATTGCTGTGCACTTTAAACCAAACTAACACAATGCTGATGGCTTAATGGGGGCCTGTAGCTTAGGTATGAGGACAGTGTGGTCACTTCTGTTTCAGGCCCTCAACATTCAGGAATACGATGGCCTCACACTCCACCCGTGACCCTGATACACCGCTACTGCAATAACAAGCCAACAAAAACCTTGCTACAGTTGTTTAGTGTAAGTTGTGACCAAGGCCGGATTATAATATGGGCAAACTGGGCACAGGCCCAGGGGCCCACATCCACAAGCCTACACGCGAACAGCAGCATTTTTTTTAAATCTCCTTTAACGGTAGTTTTTGCATCTTTACTGTTACCCTAATTCAGCCCCCCTCCCCCCCTCCCCCCTCCCCCTGCGTAGCGGCCAGAAACTCACTGATACACCTGCAGTCTCTCAGAGTTCCTGCTGCTCTAAACATTAAAATAATTATTTCATTTTCTGTTCCTCACTTCTGATTACCTTCAATGGTGTCTGTTTGTTGCAACCACCAGGTACAAAAAGGAACTTGTTTTTATTTGACTATTTTTCTGTCCTGTCTCTATTATCTTCCTGCATCTCCTCTCAATCCTAAAGAAAAACTGCTACCTGGCTTCATGTATTTTCATCTTATGAGTTACCTTTGAACTGCAGTTCTAAAAGATCTACCGACTGCAAGTATAGCGGAGTGCGCACCGCGCGCAGGCTGCACTAGTGCGGTGAAATCACCTGAGGATGAAGCAGGTGATGCGCTCCGCCCCGCATTAGCGAAACGCATCAGGCACAAAAAAAAGGCAGAAAGCATGAAAGGAAATGAGCCGACATAAACGATCGCGTGTTAACTTTGTTAGTGAGGTGGTGACACTTTGATAATGGTACTGTGGCCGTGCTCAGGACGCATCTGTCTGGAGCGCATCAACGATCAGAGCTCTGCGCCTCTCAGGTCAAAATAATCCCCAGAGAGTCCACATACACACTGTAAGAAACGTAGAACCAGGATCGTTTTTGGGCAAAAAAATAGTCTACAGTCCATCTTCCCTAATGTGTTTGTAGCCCTGTGGATTTTTCTAACTCTACCAGTTACAAATTGTGAAGGGGAATGATCTTTTTCACAAATAGCAATAATACAAAATGAACTGAGAACAACACAAACTCAACAGCGCCTCAGTGCACTGTAACTGATTGAATACCAGCTTGTCAGGAATGTGGACTTTGATGACGTTAATGAATTTACTAAAAGAAAGGCCAGAAAGCAGTTTTTCTGAAGGCACAAGAGAAGACCAACAGGAGGAGACAAAAAGAGGAGGAAGAAGCCAGGAGTCAAGAGGAGGAAGGCGACAGGAGACAAGAGAAGGAAAAAGACAGGAGACAAGGAGACAGGAGACAAGAGGAGGAAGGAGACAAGAATCAAGAGGAGGAAGGAGACACTCAATACACTATCACGTATTTAGCAACAGAACCTGGTGTGAGAAGTTCTCCACTTAATAATATCAGAGAAGAAGAAAAAGCCAACTGCTTCCACTTTAACTTTAGAACAAATACCAGAATCCCGAAAAGAAAAACACCATTTGAAGTCAAAAACAACAGAAGACATCTGCATGGAATTAGAAAACGGTGACTGGTGTTTAGCGCTATCTCGTATCCTCTGGAAATGCAGGACTTGGGTTTGACAGAAACATCTCAGAGAAGAAACCCGAGTTGAGGGTTGAGTGTTCCATGACCGTATTATTTTTAAATACCTTGCTTGTTTGCAGATTCGCTATAACTGCTTGCTGTGTTCCTCACAAAGACCTTCTTCAATCTTACTTATGGAAGCCCATTCCTGCCACTCTGATAAAAAAAATAATAATTTGTATCTCATAGTTGTCACTTAGCTAGCTCGTACTAATGAGATGGTATCTCATAATTATGAGATACAACTTATTTTTTTATCTGAGAGGCAGAAATGGGCTTCCATACTTACTAACATGTTTACTGCAGGAGCAGATCTAATGAGTGTGAAAAAGAAAAAGGCTGTTAAGGGCAAAGAAGGACACTTACAGAACAAAACAAAAACTGTCCTGTTGGGGTTGAAAGCAACTTTCTCCAAAGTAATTCCCACTAGCTCCTTTACAGGCTTCTTGTCCCAGCCTTCAGGAATGGGTTCACTCTGCATCTTGGGCTGACACAAAACACAAAAACCAGGTTTGCTTACTCCCAAACAGCTGTAATGTACCACTGAGCTGAAGACATGAGTTACCTTTGCTTTGCCCTGTAAGTAGGACTCACTGAACTGTGTGATGATATCAACATTCAGGGATTCTGATGGCAGGTGGTAAGTCACGTGATCCGTCAGGTTCACCAGTCGAATCAGAGGAGCCTCAAAGTCCCGAACCCGGAAGTACTCCATCAGTCTGCCGTTACGAGATTCGTCCACGTTCACCATCACAAACAAAATCTGTGCAGACACACAAATGCGTACATGGGGCTTAAGTTTCATTACATCCTCCGAGCAGCTGCAGCAGCTTAGACACCTGGTGAGCCTCAGTCAGTGTTTCTAACCTCAAGTTTTTATTTATTCAGTCAAGATCGTAACATTTTTTACTCCTTTTTCCTTGAGTCAATCACAGATTTATAGGTTAAAATTTGGACTCATTGCAAAGGATTACCAACAGACAGGACTTCGAGACTTTCTTCATTTGACTGAAATATTTCTAATGAAACTCTAATGGATCATTGTTTCCAGGTTCAGTGAATACTGCAATCCTATTTTAACAAATATTTAATTATATTCAGTGAAGCTAAACTTAATTTATTGTAGATTTTTCCCCTTTCCTTTCATGTTTTTAATGTTTTTACTGTTTCTTTGATGCTTTCCTTTTTATTTTTCACATAATGACATCTGAATGAGCACTGGCCTCTGTTAGATCAGCATTTAGCTTTGGGCTGAATGTTGGAGTTAAGCCTTTATCTGTGTGTGTGTGTGTGTGTGTGTGTGTGTGTGTGTGTGTGTGTGTGTGTGTGTGTGTGTGTGTGTGTGTGTGTGTGTGTGTGTGTGTACCCTCATTCTGAATGCCTCTGCAGCACTGCTGAAAGCAGAGAAAATCGTTTTAAAGTCTTCAGAGCTTTTGTTGACAAAGAGGAGAGCGTGGTTTAACACAGGTGAACTCAGGATCTGAGAGGCTGTCTGCAGGAGACAGGAAAGCATTCACACACTCAACACTTTGATGGATTTTTTCAGAGCAGACGTGATCAGTAGAACAAAATATTCAGTTTTTACAGATTTGCCCGTTACTCACTTGATCTGCTAACATTTTACCACCATATGTACTGTTATATGTATAGATAGAAACCCAGTCATCGTTCTACTGATGCATGCAGTTCAAAACACTTCACTAACATGATCCTACCTCCCCGTTGTACTCAGTAACCGGATCCATCTGGTAGACTGAGATAAAGATGATCAGCTCCTCTTTGGATGATTCGGGCTTCATTTTGTAACTCTGGATAAGCTGAGACTGCAGGAGGAGTAGATTTAGACATGATAAGAACCATGGATGGGTGGGTAGGTGAAGGGTTTATTATTATTTATTTATTATTGTTATTATTATTATTATTATTATTATTATTATTATTTAGTTTATTGTTTCCTCAAATGTTTATCATACATTTATAATAAACTTATTAATAGACTTGTATCTGGCTGAAGAGTTGACCGTTAAAATGTAAATAATTATGTTCATCTGCAAGATGTAGATTTATTATTAATATTTATTAGAACTTTTTTAGTTTCCAATCCCTAAATCACCAGCAGCAGAGGCTTGGGACCCTGACTCTTGCTTGTTTAATATTAAAACCCTTTCTAAAAATCTTCAACAACAAGAGCATGCCAAACAGACACAGCCTCAATAACTGTATCAAGATATTATCACAGTAGTGGTCACACAGATTAGGCAAAGATATGCCACTAAAGTTGTTTTTACTTTTGTGTGACCTCTTGTATTGTTTTATGTACTTTTTTGAGCAGCAGAACAGTATCATATACGAGCCCATATTTGCTGATGACTTCATCACCCAGCACCACGGCAAAGGTGATATCAGGAAGGTCAGTCGCCGCAGCGGTGAACATCTGGACATATTCGTGGTTCAGCTCCTGCACATACAGATGCAGACATTCTTAAATATCAATACAATCTCATAATCACATATTTTAAATCTCTGGTTTTCACCTTGAATGATCCAACCACTGTTAGTTCCTCTAAAGCCTCTAATTGGTTGATATCCATGATGAGGTCAGCAGCTGACCCTGCCCTCCTTTTTAGCCAGGTCAAGATAGAAGCAGAACTCTGAGGAACTTTAATCACAGTCAAGATAATAAAACACATTTTAATACTTTTGATCAAAACACATCAGATTATCCAATTAATCTGATTAATCATCGCAGAGTTGAAGACAAATGTAATCTCTCTTGCTCTCTTGCTCTCTCTCTCTCTCTCTCTCTCTCTCACACACACACACACACACACACACACACACACACACACACACACACACACACACACACACGCGCGCGCACACACACACACACACACACACACACACACACACACACACACACACACACTAACTTACAGTTCATTAGGAAACCTGTAATAGTGACACGAGTGTATTAATTTTGTCCCTGAGTCCTCTAGTGGCTGAAAACCAGACAGCAGTCAATAAAATAAAGAAACGGGGAGTTTACTATTAGTTTGCTGACATTTCTTGTTTAAAGAGCAAGTCATCCCCTACCAGAGTCTTACTCCACTCCCACTTCCTGTTTGCAAAACACAACAAATACTGTTGCCTGGCAGACCAGGAGGGTGGAGTTGCTAACAAATACACACACATGCTCACAAAAACATTGTGACATCATAATGTACCAGGTAACTCTATAGTGTACCTCTTAGCCAATAGCAATGGCAGATTTAAATTCAAATGCAGTGCAGTTTTTACCTGAAGAGGGTGCAACACTGACAGCTTTAGGCAGAAAGTTTTCATTTTAACTACGATGCACTAAAGTGCTAGCCTAGTGAACTAGACCAAATTCTTGCTTTGCAAAGTTTGGTCTAGGAACGCTCCACTGGAACCTCTGCAGCCCCTAACAGCATTCTGGCTGGTCAATCACAGCTCTCTTGAGGGGTTTCAAACACAAAAAAGAGCTGTGATTGGTCCATAATGGTGGGCCAATCATAGTCCTCTGTCTGCTTAGTGAACAAATCACAGAGCTTTGTGGGCCAATCAGGGCACTCCATTTGCCTGGTGGGTGGGATGATGCAACAGAGTGAAACAAGATGGCGGCAGCTCGTTTGAAACGGCTTTTACATCAATGTTGGACTATTAGAACTTGGGCTTCATTAGAATCAGGAGCAGATAGATGTATTTAAGTGCTTTTTTTTTTAGAAAAAATTATGTGTTTTCTCCTTCTTCAACTGTGGACCGCCTCATTTACCAATGGCTGTTGCAGTGAGTATGTCACATTCATTTTCCAGTAGCATGCGGAGATCATTTGAAAGACAACGGTAGAACCCGCCCCACAACTGAGAGCCATCAATGGAGCGTTGCCATACTAAATAATAAATTTATTTAGTCTGGCTTGCCAGGCTATTGAAGTGCCAAATTATCGACTGCACATGTCTACAGCACCATTAGACACTCATTTATTTAGTTAATCAGTTAAAAAAAAAAGATGATTTGGGGTGATTGGTCTTTAATCATAATTGTAATAGCTTTGCTTACTGATAATACAGTTTACCATTATAACAATCATGAGGATGATCCTCTGACCTTTACTTGGATAATTTGTGGGTTTATGTGAAATGAGGTTATGTAGTGTAGTTATGAGCAGTCAGTCTCAAACCAAGACCCAATAGGACAGAATTTCTACCACCTGGAACCACTCAAACTTAATCTTCTGCTTTTTAGGTAACTGATTTACAGACCAGTCATGGTAAGTTTAGTGGTAAACAGTGATATTTTTTCTTTATTTATTTTATATTTTTTTTGTCTTTTGCTGAAATTAGTATTTCAAAACGATCTCTACTGGAACCTGGTCAACATGTTCTCTGTGCATGACTGTGTCTCAAAATGGACCATGCATCCTAACAGAACGACAATCTGTAACAAAAGTTAAAATGGACTCTATAGAGTTTACTTGATAGGTTACATAATTATTAAACTTAATATATTTTTTCTCCCTGTTTCTTCCAAAGCCAGAAAGCTTTGACTGTTGTCTGCTGCAGGTAAGATATTGACCACTCATATTTAATCAACAACCCTCCCTCTCCGAATCCACCTGGTCTAACGTCTTACCTGATGATTTGATCCCATAACCAGCAACTTTATCTCTTTGTGAATGGCCTATGCATTTTTCCCCTTATATCTTTTCTAATCTGTGCAAATTTGTCCCACTGTTCAAAATACTGTTGAATCGTTTCAAACCTCGTGAAGTGGTCAAGACAGGCGCACAGATAGGGTGGGGGACGAGGGGGATCTGTCCCCCCCAAATTCAGATCGACCCCAATCCGTCCCCCGCACTAAGGCCAGAAAGAAAACAAAATCGGAGGTTAAGCGCCTGAAGCTGCTTTTTTCAATTACATTGAATGCAGCATGACGTAAACAATCACCGACTCCAGAGGTGCAAAAGTGGTTGCCGCTAGGATGCAGGATGAAGTGAAAAAGGCAAGCAACGATTACTGTATTTTTTAAAAAGACCAACAATGTAAGCAGACGGGACCAAGGCCGGATTATAATATGGGCAAACTGAGCACAGGCCCAGGGGCCCACAGCCACAAGGGGGCCCACGTGAGCAGCTGTCTTTTTCTTTTTTGTGCAGCAGTCTTAACGTTGGAGAAAAAAGTTGACAAGTAATTAAAATTGTGCCCACATTTTCTAAGTTAACACACATTTATTTTAACAATTGTAGTCTTTGCATACTGTTCCCCTGCGTCAGCTCCCCCCCCCCCGCGCGGTGGCCGCAAACTCTCTGGTGCACCTGCAGCCTCAGAGTTCATGCTACTCTAAGCATTGAAAGAATCATTTCATTTTCTGTTCCGCACTTCTGATTACCTTCAATGGTGTCTGTTTGTTGCAGCCACCAGGTACCTAAACTAACTTGTTTTTATTTTACTATTTTTCTGTCCTGCTGTTTATTATCTTCCTGCATCTCGTCTCAATCCTAAAAAAAACTGCTGCCTGGGTTCATGTTTTTCCTCTTATGAATTACCTTTGAACTGCAGTTCAAAAAGATCTACTGACCGCAAATATAGCGGAGTGCGCACTGACCGCACCAGTGAGGGGGTCACCGGAGGACGAAACAGGTGATGTGCTCCGCCCCGCAGCAATGAAACGCATCAGGCACAAAAAAAAGACAGAAAGCATGAAAGGAAATGAGCCGACATAAACGATCGCGTGTTAACTTTGTTTGTGAGATGGTGACACTTTGATAATGGTACTGTGGCCGTGCTCAGGACACATCTGTCTGGAGCGCATCAACGATCAGAGCTCTGCGCCTCTCAGGTCAAAATAATCCCCAGAGAGTCCACATACACACTGTAAGAAACGTAGAACCAGGATCGTTTTTGGGCAAAAAAATAGTCTACAGTCCATCTTCCCTAATGTGTTTGTAGCCCTGTGGATTTTTCTAACTCTACCAGTTACAAATTGTGAAGGGGAATGATCTTTTTCACAAATGGCAATAATACAAAATGAACTGAGAACAACACAAACTCAACAGCGCCTCAGTGCACTGTAACTGATTGAATACCAGCTTGTCAGGAATGTGGACTTTGATGACGTTAATGAATTTACTAAAAGAAAGGCCAGAAAGCTGTTTTTCTGAAGGCACGAGAGAAGACCAACAGGAGGAGACAAAAAGAGGAGGAAGAAGCCAGGAGTCAAGAGGAGGAAGGCGACAGGAGACAAGAGGAGGAAGGAGACAGGAGACAAGGGGAGGAAGGAGCCAGGAGTCAAGAGGAGAAAGGAAACAGGAGACGAGAGGAGGAAGGAGACAGGAGACAAATAAAAAAACTTGCAGAAATGTCATCTTTTCAAACTTAATAACTGCATAATCTTTTCAATAATCCTGCATTACTTTTTGTTGTAGTTTGACAGTGGGATCTCTTTTACAGCAGACTCACTTGCCCCCACTATCCCACAGATTAACAACATTTTTATTATTATAGACAGAAGAGAAGACAGGAGTGCTGTGAGGAAGAGAGAGACAGAAAAGGAGGAGAAAAGAGAGAGCACAGAGGAAGAAAGACATATGAGTGAGGCACAACAGGAAAATCATCAGGTATGAGTGTTTGTGATTAGGTTATAAAACTATTTTGACCTGGATGTAAATGCTTTTGTATCAACATGAGTAAGTGATTTTTAATATTGACAATGTTATGAAATGTCTTAAAAGTGCTACTGGGGGAAAGTAATGTTGGGGGAGGCCGGGTGGGGTGGGGGTGGGGGCCGGGGGTTACATTGGGCCCAGGGGCCCCTGCAATGATAATCCGGCCCTGGGCGGGACCGATCTGTTTGTTTATGCATGTTGGTTACAGTTTCATTAGGTTGTTGTCAGTGTTGGGACTTACTCGTTTAAAGCGCCAAAGCCTCATTGCTGACTTTAACAAGTCTCATCTACAAATATGGTCCCTCATGAAGTCACTACTTTACACCAGAAGATAGTGGAGATGTGGAACCTTAAGGCTGAGCAAAGTTTTGGAGTTTTTAGAGCTTGAAAAAACGCCTCCCAGTCCGGGAGAGGAGGAGATGGATGCAACATGAAGAGCGCAAATATTAGATTAGGATGACCATACGTCCTCTTTCCCCCAGATGTGTCCAATTTTCACTCTCTGTCCGGGACGTTCGGTGGGGTTTCCTACTCTGATCAAAATGTCCGGTTTTTCATCCAGGAGCAGGGATCGAGTTATGGAGGCTAAACATCTTTCATGGAAAGATCCGGTTTCTACCTATATTACAATATTTATGAACTCTCAGCGTAGCAGGATTCTGTTTAGCGGAGAGGACGCAGAGCGCTGACCGTTCGTACGCTCGCTGCGTCTGGCACAGATACATTCTCAAGGCCAGGGGGGCGCTATAGCTACCCCTGGATTAGTCATTGCACCCCCAAGTAAATGGATATTTTTTTTTACAATTTAATTTTAATTTAATGTGTGGATGTGATAATATTTAACATACAAAACAAAAATAATCAGTAAATTATCATATAGATAGTAAAAACTTAAACCAAAACAGGAAATTGATGTTAACCTTTGACCTCATTTTCCACCTGCGAACAAGTGAAAGGTAGAGCTAGTGGTAAAATGGATCGGCTTTTGTTGCCCACATTTCCACGGGTTCAGTCAGAAACGAATGAATGTTTGGAAGTGATCTCAGACCCACAAAAACCTACGGATCTGGATGAAGAGAGTCAACCCTCAACCGCCGCAGCAGTCGAGGGTTTTGCAGCTGGAAATGCTAACACTAACGTTAGCTAACCTTGCAACACTTTAGATGGTTTTCTGTGTGGCTGTATGTGTTTATGGTTTCATGGAAAAGTCAGCGATTGTTCATATGTTTATGATGTATATTAATGATTGTTTCAGGTGTTGTTGAGGTGTTGTGCACGCATGTGTATCTGCTAGCGTTGAAGGTGTTTTATGGGCCATTCCTATCTGTACCGGGTCGGCCCGGGCCGGGTAGCCCCAGTCAGCCCCAGCCTGGCCCGGTTGATTCCACACATCCTTGTCTTAAGCCCATGTGGGCTGATTCTACCCACCAATCAGAGACTTGCTCTAATGGAAGGTGTGAATTTGCTGTCAGCAGTGGGTGTGTTGGCCCTGGTTGGCCTGAAGCAGACCCCCTCGAGAAGAGGGCTGAGAATGAGCCTTGGTTGGCCCGGAAAAATACCAGGCCACCCAGATATGTAAACAACCTACGCTACCCAGCCTGGGCCGACCCGGTACAGATGGGAATGGCCCATTAGAGAACAATAGGTACGCATGACCACTTCCTTCATAGCACCCTCAATAAAAAGACTAGCTCCTTCATAGTACCTGCAGAAAAACATTTCTGGAGCCGCCACTGTCTCAAGGTGGCGCAACAAAACATTATTATTAACACATGATCGTTCATATCTGTTTATATCCTCTGATATTCTGTCTTTTAATCGTTCCTGACGCGCTCTGCCCATCGTGGGCTGAGATGATTTCACCTCACTGACACAGCATCGAAACGCGCCCTCCGCTTTGCGGTCAGGAGATCCCTTTGATCTGTGTGGTTCAAAAGTAACTGATGAGGTGAAAAAGTAAGAATCCAGGCGGCAGTTTTTCCAGAGAATTTAGAGGAGATGCAGGAAGATGAGAGACAGACAGGACAGGAAATAGTTAAATAAAAACAAGAAAACAAAGCTTGAAAGGAAAATGTAGGTAGATTTATCTCCACTACACATTTTTACTGAATAAAACAATGAGCTATACACTTGTAATATTTATACATCTGATACGATTCAGATCACCTTCAAAACTCAGTCACACACCCAGGGCCGTTTCAAGGCATTTTTGGGGCCAAGGCAAAACGTAAAAAAGGGCAGATGCGTTACATATGGAAGTCAAAGTGTGCCACAAAATCATAAAAATAAAAGTCAAATATAAAATTTAAAAAGAGTTTTATATATTTATATATAAATTAAAACTTTCCAAACATAATGACATTTTCTAAATGACGTAAAAATACGAAGGAATATCTGTTGGTCAGGGAACCACTGCTCTAAATGAGAAGTCAATATCGTTTTTTAAATATATTTTATGTGCAGTTTTTTACATAGGGCTTTTATGTTTTCTGTACAGATTGGTATGCTGAACATCAGTTCATGTTTAAATAAAACATGTTTTGCATAAAGCATGAGGTTGTGGTTAGTAATCGATTGGGAGAATAACAAATGACTGAATTGAATAGTGTTGATCAGGCAGAGCTTTGTTGCCAGCGTTCCACTGCACAATGGCTTCAAACACGTATATAAAAGTGTTCGTTTTTACGTAAACCATTGGATGAACTTACACAAACTCACTGAGCTCTAGTTAGGGCTCTTGCAATAGTTTGTGTATGTGTGTGTGTGTGTGTGTGTGTGTGTGCGTGCGTGCGTGTGTGTGTGTGTGTGTGTGTGTGTGTGTGTGTGTGTGTGTGTGTGTGTGTGTGTGTTTGGGGGAGGTTACATTGGAACTTTGTCCCCCCCAGTTTGAAAATCCTATCTGCGCCCCTGGGTGAAGACGTTAGACATTTTTCATCTGGAACAAACGTAGACGTACCGGGGCAGACGACTGGGTTGTTTACATCTCCAGAAAGGTAGAGTCTGATTGAAGTGTCGGCTGTCACATTCAACATTTTAGCCAAGTCTTTCTCTTCTGCCACATCAATAATGGCTGGTTTGACCTCTGACCCCTGAAGCTTCGCAGCAGCACCTTCAAATGCCGTCAACACACGATGGCTGCCCACCGTCAGAGTAGTCGCTGATGAACACACAGATGAAAAAAATAAGATAAACTGAATCTAAAGCATTTTGTTTGAATGTGTGTGTGTGTGTGTGTGTGTGTGTGTGTGTGTGTGTGTGTGTGTGTGTGTGTGTGTGTGTGTGTGTGTGTGTGTGTGTGTGTGTGTGTGTGTGTGACTTACAGAAGTGTACCAGCAGCTGCTTGTGTTTTCCAAGCGCGCTGTTAAAATTTCCCTTATTTAGAAGCAAAATTCCATCTTTTGCTGCCAACGGTTCGTTCCCCTGTACATCCAACTGTGTGTCCGCAGCAGAAAACACACAAAACCAGAGACCCAACCCACCCAGCAGCAGCATCGGTGTCTTCATGATGGATCCCCCTCTGTTTGACAATGTGGACACCAGAATGACTGAAGGAGAAGGTCTGGAGGGAGTGGTGAGACAACAGACTGATGGGTGTGTGTTGAGCTGGTAGGTTGAGAATGCTTTTGTTATCTGACAAGACCCACAGGTTAGTTGCTGATTAACTTTTATATCTGTGCCGTGCTGTATTTCTGCTATTGGCTGCTTTGTGTATCAGGTAAATCACTAATATCTAAATGACCTTCACCTTCCATACTCAACAGTCAAAATGGAAGCAGAACTGGAGCTAAAATTCACCAGATGCATGAAATTTAAAGAAAAGAAGGTTATTTTAAAACAACCACTTTGTCATTGAATACAATATCCCTAAATAATCTTTACTTAAATCATATTTTTGTTGATATGTGAGTGCTTTAAAAGGAACCCAGATTACAAAACCTTGTGGTTCTTAAAAGATAAATGTTAGTATCAGTTATATTAAAGTGGTGTAAAAAACCTTAATGTCTTCATTTTTATAAAATTTGTAAAAATAGTTTAACTCGTAGGTCGCCATTGTTGTTAGCATCGCAATGCACTCTGGGTAGTGAGGTCATATGGTTGTACCTCGGTTGCACCGGCCGGCTTTGGGACCCTGTACTGTTCAGCGACACAAACATGTCATCTGTTCAGCCTTTTCTATTTGAACCAGAGTGAAACATTAATGAGGACATCACTGACCATGTTTCACAAAACAAGCGTCAACTTGAAGAGCATGAAGGGCGGGATGAAGCGAGAGCAAGACAAAACCGGTGGTGCGTGTGCGGCAAATCCATCTCCGTGTTAACCGAGAGGGAGAGTGTTTGTTGTCAAGAGCTCACATTTTTGTCAGCAGAGGTCAACGGTAAACTATTGTGTGATCGAACTTATTCAATGATGAATGATTTAGGATAATTTTAGCATCCAGAGCTGTCGTGTGCTTCATAGATGATTAGGATATTCAGTGAAACCACTTTAATTATTGTTGCAGATAGGATATATTTGGAGAAAACTTACTGCTTTTTTTACTGATGGGAGAGGTGAATGTTCAGCTTCATCCGTGACGAGTGGTGTGTCCGATGGTTCGCTGAACGTGACAGAAGCGGCAGCTGCAGGAGCGGGTTGTCGGCTCAGGAGAGCGTCCAGCGTCTCTTGTCTCTCCGAGGGCATTTAGGCTCCTTGTGTGGGAAAATGGTCGATAAAGCATTTAGTTTCCGCCTTTTCTTAAACACAGCAACTCTGGTGAGCTCTTTAAGTAGTTGTGGTCGACTTTAAGCCTCAAACGCATCAGGAGAAAAATGTTGGGAACACAGCCATGGATCTTTGGGAAGTTGTGTCCGTCCACAAGCATCTTCCCAATGCTTTCTCCTCTTCTTGCCAGTGGGAAAGCTGTGTAAACTCACATCACCCCCCTTGTTGCCCTCTGACTGGACATTACATCCAAAAGCAGCACAACGTGGCATTTTACTTAATAATTAATATGGTGAGTGTTAAAAGTCCGCTTGGTCACTTTAACCATTTAGACTACGTTACCCATGATGCACCTCGGTACTTGTACTTTCGGTTGGGAATGTGTTTAGCGCAGTTCAGCACAGCTGAAAGGTTTTCGATGATCAGCATTTTTCTCGTGCGTTCCTGTGTGGGTTACCCTCGGTGTGCGTGTTTATCATGTGAGTATCATAAGACGAGAGCGATGCTTATTTGATTTTATCTGTGAGTTGCTCGGTGTAATTTGCTAAGTAAGAAGCTGGTCCCGTTGCTATCGCTAAGCTGCGGGCTCTTTTGGCCTACTTCAGGCAGCCTTGGTTGCAGCTTCTATGGCATTCCATATGCGACTTACTGTCAAGTATGGTGGTTGGAGGTGGATGAAACTATTTACTGTGTTTATTATTGGACCTGTAGAGATCCTGTTTGCGAATGCATATACCAACTAGAAACTCATGTATGGTTTAGGGTGGCATCTAGCGGCTATGAGGTTATAGCAGGTTATATAACGTCATGTTGGAAACCACAGTGCTATATAAACGGTACACTGCTTTTCATAAGGCTTAACACGAATGTTGGTTCTGTCTGTTAACAGATCACCATACCTACATACTCCTACACACTCACAATCCTTTACCTGCATTGGTATACAGGAATGCAATTGCCTTACCGCTAACGTACAACCTGTTGATATCATCTGCCGCCTCCTTAATAAAGCTACTTGGACTACATTGCTGTGGAGTGCCAATCCTTCTGACCGAGGACGACTCAGTTGAAGCGTGATGGCAATCAGTGCAAAGAATCAAACAAGTGGTCCTTTGAGCCGGATACGCATTGGCTGAGTTCATGAGATGGAGGATGGAGGTGCATCGAGTAGCCCCCGTCCAAAACGGGAGAGGAAACTCCTGGGATATCTGGTGGACTACGAGCACAACCTAATTGAGCCACACAACCCATCTAGAGCTTCACGTAGTTCCAGCAGCTCTGACAATGAGGAGGAAGGGAGATGGCAGAGGATGTAATCAGTATGGAACAGTGTCCTCCAAACCATGAATCACCTTCAGGTGTCTATGGAGGACACTCATGGAACATTACTGAAGCGGGTGGAGCATTTGGAGCAAGTTTCACAACCTAGCAGTGAGGTGATACATCGCACCATAGAGCCACTACCTGTACCAGAGCAGAACACCATAACACCTGCGACCATGCTGACGCCAGTTAAGGCATCTGCTCCATCACCTCCTCGTAAAGCGAGTTTTCACACTCAGCCAGTGCTGTGCCCTGCCACTTATGTAGCTGCATCAATGCCACTCAGGAGATTTGGCCGATGCACCGCTACGCCCTTCGTGTATCAGCGATCGGAACATCATCTCCTTATAAACCGGCCAGGCCAGGTGCAGATATTACACCACACAGCCTCAGCTAATCAGCCAAGACAATGTGCTTATCGTGCAGTCTACCAGCTATCGCAAGCTGGGGACCCAGCGAATCTGCAGCAGACGCTACATCTAGCTAATCCTGTGTACTTGCAGCAACCACAACGTCCTGCTGATCCGATCTACCAACTGCCACGTACACCAGAACCGGTGATCCAGCCATCACAGTGGGCAGACGCTCAGCACCCTGTATCCAACATATTGCATCCTGAAGCTTTGCCTGATCCAGCTGGCAACCACCGCATTCCTGATCCGTCAGGAAGTGACTATTCATCATCTTCCTTTGCCAAACGACGTAATCCACACGTTGCCACATCTGAATCAGCCAGAGCGCCTCTACCAAACCTGATGGAGATGATGGTGGCATCTTCATATGGTATTCCAAAGCCTAGGCTGGTGGTATTCAAGTCGGGCAGAGAGAGTGACTTTGCTGGACAGGGCTGGACAGCACCCTAGGGCCACATTCTCATCTGGGAGAAGATTACAAGTTTCAGGTCCTATTAGATCTTCTAGAGTATCCCAGCGCCCTACAGGTAGCCAAGCGCTACATTCACGACCGCACTCCTTATACTAGTGCAATGAGGGCGCTAGAGCAGAGGTATGGGCAGCCAAGGCAGTTAGTCCAAAGTGAGTTAGCACAATACTGAACAGCCCCCTAATTCGACCAGGGGACTCTAAAGCTATTGAGGACCTTTCCCTGTCCGTGTCCAGCCTGGTCGGGCTTCTCAGTACCATGGAAAAAATATCAGCCAGTGAGCTTCATTGTGGTTCACATGTGGACAGACTGCTCACCTAACTCCCCCTGAATTACAGAGACAGTTTCTTCGAGTACTGTATTACCCGGGGGATCATCCGCACTGGCAGCAGCTGAACATACAGTATGTACGACTTATCAGAATGGCTCGAACAGAAATCCCAAGTCCTTCAGCTATCCAGACAAGCCTCTCACATGCCCTATGGCAGGCCACATCCTGAGAAGAACCTACTTAAAGCCTTAGCAGGGCCCAAGTCACACAGCAAATCTGCCTCCGTCTACTACGGCCCAAATCCAGCCCAAGCCAAGCTAAGACCAGGGGGAGAATCTACAGCTCCCGGTCCGACAGCCCAACCTAAGAAGAGACAGAAGTTCAAACCTTATTGTCCATACTGCGAAGGGACAGAGCATTTTCTGAATGGCTGTGATGGATTCAAAGGGCTAGGCCTCAAAGCCATGGCTACCTGGATTACAGAGAAGACCAAATGCTGGCGCTGTGGCCGTCAACATGCACCAGAGCAGTGTACTCTAAAGAAGCCGTGCAGCACCTGTGGTGACCAGCATTTGTCGGTGCTCCATGACCTGGTTGAGGCCAAGAAGCGGGACACCAACATACTAACTGTGAGTACTAGTATGGTTTACCTAGACTGTTCAAGTCACTCAGGTCGAGTCAAGCTTAAAGTAGTACAGATTCAACTACATCACGGTGGCAAATCTCTGAACACATATGCTGTACTTGATGATGGCTCAGAGAAGACTGTTGTGCTTCCTGCGGCAGTTGAATCTCTAGGCTTGGAGCCAGAGGAAGCAACACTCGCACTGCGAACTATCCGTCGAGATGTAATCCAGATGAAGGGAGGCTTTGTCTCATTTCAGGTGTCACTGAGAGCTAAGCCCAAAGTGAGGTACAAAGTAACACATGCCTCCACAGCCAACCAGCTGAGTCTAGCTACTCAGTCATGTCCAGCTGAACAGCTGAAGAAGAAGTATCTTCACTTGCAGAAAGTCCAGATCAAAGGGTTTAACCAGGTCCAACCTTTGGTGCTAATTGGATCAGATAACGCTCATCTCATTACCCCTGTTAGTCCTGTCCTTAGGGGGTCATCCAAAGGGCTAGTAGCCGTCTGCACCAAGCTTGGAGGGGCCATCCAGGGGCCGGCCAGTAGTATGCCTACATCTGAGGGGGGGCTGCAGTGCCTGAACATGTGTCTTTCTCCTGCAGAGGCCCTGCATCGAGATGTGAAGCGTTTGTGGCAACTAGATGTTCCCCCCTATAGGACAGAGAAGGAGGTCACATGGTCAAAGGGGGACAGAGAGGCAGTGGCTACATTGGAAACAAAGACCCTCAGAGTCCCAGTGGATGGTGTCGAGAGATATGCCACTCCTCTGTTGAGAAGAAGAG